AAAAAAAAATCATCTAGAAATTTGCAGAAAAATCTAGTAACCACGAAAAAAATAAAAAAAAGAAAGAAAAACAGTTTGTATTATAAGAAGCTATCAGAAACAGTAAATACTATCAGAAACAGTAATAACTCCAACAACCAGTAGTAATATTATTATAACAAAAAAAAAGTTACTTGTTAACATCTTGGTACAATTCAATCATTAAAGATGCTGCAAATGGTGGAACACTGAGATCAACATTAAGAGCAGCCATTAAAGATAAAATAGTTGTGTCATGCTAAATCATTACTAATTTATTACATAATTATTTAATTATATTACATTACATAATTAACTATATTACAATACATAATTAATTGACTATATTAATTATATTAAGTAAATAAAAACTAAATTTTAATGATTAATTAATAAAAAACAAAAAAATGAAAATAACATTATTAAAAGTACCCCTGAATAAATATTCATTTTATATAAATCTTTATAATGCCTATTTATAGCAAATTTTTCCATATGTGAAATTATCTCATACAACAAGACACCTAAAAATTAAATTAAATGTAGTAATTCAATTCTAAAATTTTAAAAATTCTTTAATTGAAAAAAATAACAAAGAAAATTGAAAAATATTTCAATAAAAACTGTGTTTCAGTGAACATCGGATAAAAAAATAAATGATAAAATAAACAAAAACACAATAAAATATTTTATTATGTATATTAATACATAATAAAATTTTTTATTGTATATTTAATTTATCATTTATTTTTTTATCTGATGTTCATTATTTATTACCTACATTAGCTATAAAATAATGATATTAGTAAATAATAACTAGTAATCTTTATAAATATAGTTTAAAAAATGCAAATATTAAGAAACAAAAAATAAAAATATACAAAAATAAATAACTTTTAATGTTTAATATTTTTAAAATAAAAGGAAATATTAAACTCTGCATTTTTTTTTTAAATGTATTAGCTTTAATTTACTAATTCACTAGAAATAACAATGCCTAAGTAAAAGCCTCAAAATTATATATATAAAAATAAGAAATTTAAAAAAATTAAAAAGGTTAATAAAAAGGTTAATAAATAAAAAAGGTAAATGTTAAGGGTATATTTAAAAAACTCTAAAAAACAAACTCTTAAAGTATTTTTATATTAGAATTTCTAAATGAAAAAAATTAAACTTTTTTTGTTTTTTATGAAGCAATTTTTTTTTTTTTAAATAATTTTTTTACCACCAACAAGTCTTGAGAACTCCTCATCTCCTTGAAATTTGTTCAAAAATGTCCAGTCGCCTAATTTGATAATCTGATCAAACAAACTTGGTGTAAGCCATGAATCAAAAGCAAAACCTTGTGCAATCTGTAACATTAAAACATAACAATCTGTAACATTGAAATTATTCTTACATAAGTCAAACAACAACTGCTTTTTTTACTATAATGGAAAAAAACATAACAAAATGATGTTATAAATCGCTCTACAACAAAACCTGGCTAAATATTCAGTTTATAAAATAACCTTAAAACATATTTAAAATAAAACTATCATTTTAGAAACAGCAAAATTATTCAATATGGTTTATTATTAAAAAAAAAAATTATTTGAAAGTTAAATATATAAAAAGTGATTTTTAAAAGTTAAATGAATTGTTATTTTTTACAAAAAATTGCACATTTTATAGTAATTTTTTTTTTATGTAATCATACACTGTTTGAAATAACATTTTTAAATGTTTTAGTTTCTAAAGAGTTTTGAAGTAACCAGTATATGTGAATAAGTTGAGTTACCTGAAGATTTAGCCTGGTTTATTTTAGCGCATCAAAAATTAAACATAAACAAAATGCATTTTGAGAAGACACTCAAAATTGATTAAACAACAAAATCAAGTTCAGTTACCACAAATTGTAGTTTGAAATTATTGAAATCCTATTGTAGTATCAAGTCACGTCAAAAATGTATATGAAATTGGAGGTCTCCAATCTGTAAAACTGTTAAGGCATCTATTTACTAAAAATACTATAATTATAAATACTTTGGTATTTATAAATACTTTGGTTATTATAAATACTTTGGTATTTATAAATACTTTGGTTATTATAAATACTTTGGTTATTATAAATACTTTGGTATAAATACTTTGGTATTAATGAATAATTTTTAATTTATTAATTTATAAATAAAACATTCTTACGTCACATTTTAAAACATCATAAACAACCCAAAGTTCTCTGAAATTCACTATCATTCCAGTATAGTTACTTAATAATGACAACAACATCTAAAAATAAATGTCACTAACATCTAAAAATTTAAAATTCAAAAAAAAAAATTATTTTAAGAAAATTGTCATTGTGCAATAATAAAATATATGCAAAAAATAAAGTTCGTTTAGTTTTACCAACAATCAACTAACTTTATAGTTCATTAAATGTTATTTACTTTAAGTGAAACACAATAAGTTGGTATTTAGCACATATATTTAAACACAATAAGTTGGTAATTAGCATCTGGCCTTTAGCTTTTTCAGCTAAAAATTTCTAAAACAAAAATGAGGTTGAGAAAGTAAATATATAATAAATTTAACTTGCAAAAACAAATCCTAGCAACAGCATAACCTTCTTTTGCATTGGTGATTGACAGTCTGAAGAGTTTTTATTTTGCAAGTTTCAAATAAAAGTACAATTAGGGGCAATTTTAAAATTTTTGTTTTTTGGTAAAAATTGCAAAAATTTAAAATCTGTAAAACGATTATGATTATAATTAACAACTTTTTTTAAAATGTTGCAAATTATCAAACAAATATATTTAATAAACTGTTAAACAGTATTTACTACTAACATAATAATAATTGAGAAATACATCTAAATATTAATTAAATAAATAAATATTTTGTTTTCAAAATATTAGCTATTTTTTACTAACTTTGTTTTCTTTTTCTTTCTTCATGTAATCTACTTTTTTTTTCTGTGCTGATAAAAGCTCTCGAAGTCGAGGACAAGGCGTACGCAAAGATCGCAAAAGCTATTATAAGGGAAAAGAAACTTTTGTAAAAAGCAAAAAAAATGTATATATAAAACTATAATCATTTGTAAAAAGCAAAAAAAAAACTATGATCATTGATCATAGTTTTTTACAACTTTAGAAAATTTTTAAATTTTAGGAAAAAAAAACTTACAGAATCTTGATCATTTGGGACTGTGTGTACTGGAATTGGTTGCCAATTATTAACTAAATTATGCCAAACCTATATATAAAGATGACACCATTAACAATGTTTATTTTATCTAGAAATGTTTCTATTCTAATTATGCAACTTTCAGTTTAATAGTTAATCTAAAAATATTTAAAATTTAATAACAAAAGAATACAACATAAGAATATTTAGGTACAATATTAGAATATCAAATATGATAAATATATTTTAATAAATAAAATAATATAGATAAAAAACTCAAAAAGAGAAACAAATATTAATGAAAACAATCGAAATTTTTCCAAAATTCAGAGCAATTACTTTTTATTTGCTACAACAATTCTAAAAATAGTCTCTTAATATCATCAGAATGGGTTGCAAATTCATCAGAATAAATTGTATTATTTCTTAGATAACACCATCAGAATCTGTTGCAGATCCATAAGAATAGATTGTATTATCATTTAGTTAATCAGAAAAACAGCATTAAAATAACAAAAGAAGTTTTACTATTAAAAAAATTATACTTGATAGCCTTTAGGAGGATATAATCCAGCTAATTGTGTTTCTGCACTCTGCAAACATCTTGGTGTATCTGAACTGCGAATATAAATCTAAAAAGAAACATAACTACAAATAATAAAGAAAAAACTACTTTATTGTAAATATCAAAACAAACCTCTTTTTGAATGTAAGTTTCATTCAAAAAATGATTGTCAATCATGTAGCGCTTCTTTAAAAATCTTCCTAGTTCATACTCCATATTCATTCCAACCTAAATAAATACTTGAATACAAATACAGCTATTTAATTTAGTTAAATTGCTAATTTAAACTTATTTTATACATCAATAGTAAGATATTACTTTATATTATATTATTAACTCTTAATTTTGATTCATTACATATAACAAACAATACAAGCAATATTTACTTTTGTTAACATCCCTGGATCAACAGGCCAATCATTTTTATGAGAATTTGTTGGAAAATTAACAAGAGGTGATCGTGCACCATGGCGATAAACCTTTGAAGAAAAAAGGAGAAAAAAAACTTGATTGGCAATTCTATAATTATAAGATATGGTAACCAACCATCCTAACTTAATTAACCAACCTCCTAATTTAAAGAATAGTTTTTATTTTAAAACTTTGTTTGCACTATTTATTTGACTTAATTATGTTATTAAAGTGTTGCGTAATTTTCAATATTTATTATTATATATAATTTGTTTGTTCTCCCAAGTGTTCTCTATTTTTTATTCCTTTCTTTAGATAATTTCTTTTTATCTAAAATATCTATATTTATGCATTTAAGAAATCCAAACTGCATTCATTAAACTTTTTTTTAGTTTATTATTTTAAATATTTTTCAGTGCTCATGTGGCAGAAGAAACAAGTTGTTTCTTTTTGTTTTTATCAAAACAAAATGCTGAGTTAAAAATAATCAACTATTGTTTTAATTAAATTGTGGTGGAACAAAAGCAAAAGTTTTTTAAACAGTTTAAAATAAGTAAAAAAAAAAAGGAATTTTTAGCTGTAGTACACAACACATACAATGAATATTTTTTAAATTTATTGAGCAGATATAGTTACATATTGTAAGAAAATATTACAGTAAGTAAAACATTTCATCAAAAAATGTATACTTTTCCGATATAAGTATTTAATTAGTAAATAAAATTTTTATGTAGGTACTTGATGATACTTTTTGCTAATTCCAAAATGTTTTTTTATTTTTTTTATTTATTTTTTTTATTTATTTAGCAACTTAATGCTAATTCAGTAACTTTTACAAAATAAAATACTTTGCATATTTAAAACAAAATATTTTGCATAATTAATACGTATCCAATTTTATTTATGAAAATTTGGTCACATTATTTTTAACTAATTTTTAATAAAATTATTATGAATATTATCAAAATTGTTAAAGACTTACAACATGAACCATTTTTAAGGTCTTCATACAATATATTTGACATACCAGAGACAAAAATATACAATTAAACATTTTTAAGCAATACTAGTAATATTTCAAGCTATAATCTGCAAAAGCCTCTTACTACAAAATATTTATTTAAAAATTTAACGCTTTAGTTTTTAAGAACTTTTTATAAATTTCAAGTAACATTTAACCATTATATTTCAAGAGTTAGTAGTGTATTGCCAGTTTACTTAAAATCTATTACCGCATAACTTTCTGCATGATTTTTGATCATTGAGAGCTAGTATAGCTAAAAAAAACTTATATAATAGTAAAAATAAAATAATAATAATATTATTATTATTAATTTTAAAAACAAGCACACGTGTAAGTACTAATTATGGTTAGTTCTTGTTCTATGACTTTGTTACAAAAAAAAAAAAAGTTGATTTTTCTATCATTTTTTTTCTTGACGGACAGCAAAGTAAACCTTTTTTTATTTTTTAATCTTTATTTCAGAATTTTTTGTTAATGATCTGACATGAAACTTCCAAGAAACTAAAATTACGTTACTTCCGAGAAACCATAACAGTTAGTGCAGGAATGCAAAAAAAAAAATTAAAACAAAAACAAAAAACGAAGCTTATTAAATTTTTAAGTCTCTATAATAAAAAAAAAAGTTTTAGAAAAGAAAAAATATTAAAAAATCTCTTACTTTTAATTTCTAATTTCTAATACTGCTAGTACTGTCTCGAGCACGTTTTGTTTTATACAGATTTTATATTTTTAATGTATATAAAAACAGTAAACCGGTTTTATATTCTAAATGTTATTGAATGTATAAAATAATAAGATCAGGTAGAAAAACTTTTTTATATTGTCATTTTTTAGTAATTTTTAAGCTGTGCCACACAAGAAAAGCCTCAAAAAAAAAAAAAAAAAAAAAAAAAAAATAGCCCCGGGCCCCAAAAAGATTTAATTTGCCACTATTTAACACAACAAGCAAATAATCTTCCAACAATGGAACAATTAAAAGATGTTGTAGAATAATCTTCCTTACGGACATTTTTTTAAAAGTTACGTTTTAAATGTCTAAAAGCGTTTCTTAAACGTCTTTTAAACGTTCTTTAAGGAAGAATGTTTAGAAAACGTTTAAAAGACATTTAAAATCCATTTAGAACGTAACTTTTAAAAACAAATGCCCGCTGGGTTGTTAATTTGTTTGTGAAACATGTATCCGTATTTCACAAAGAGAATGACATAAAACAAAAAATTCCTCATAGGGACAAAATTATCAAACCCACATGGGTTTAATAAGAAAATACCTTGATAATTTTTATGAAAAAAAGTTTCAAGTCATTAAATCTTATGAACTTTTTTCTTATTTATTACTAATGATCTGCACATTAGCACCGCTGAGTTATAGCACAGCAGCTTTACCACTTTAGCGGGACCAATAACTTTATTTTCATGAATCGAATATGCTGTATTCGTAAGTGTATCATTTAGATACGTTTATTTAGAGAAAGACGGCAAGACAGCAAACGTTTTAAAAATCCTGAGTTTCTTCAGAACTGTCAGTCATAAAGCATTATTACTTTGACAGTATGTTTACTTTATCATAATGACTACTTGCCTGTATGAGTTTTTCAATTTCTCCAATTTTAAAACATTTTAAAACACTAGCAACTGCTCTAACTATAGTAACACTAAATGAACACATGAACACGCAAAAAAATATCCCTCAAAAAGTTACACCCGGAGGACACCATCCATAAGCAACATCCGAAATCGATGTAATTTTTTTAAGCGCAAAAAACAAACTTTTGCGTATAAAATTGCGTTAACAATATTTAAAAAAGCCAATTTGAGTTTTAAAAACCTAGATACAAATACAGTTTTGTTTCCACCTATTTTAAAAATTGGAGTTGTTATATGAAATTATAACAACTCTACAAAAAAATTCCATCTTGTCCCTATCGAAATCTTGCCTCGTTTTTCCTTATTTATTTATCCCATATAAACAGTCCGTATACTTAAATATTGTAAACGCCATAATATTATTTTAATAGTATTTAGAAAAAAAGCTTTTTTTTTGTTTTTTTTTTGTTTTTACAAGAAGCCAAAATCTTAAGAAACTTATAGTACTAAGTTGTTTTTCAATAAAAAAAACTTATTCTATTAAGAGTTCGAGGAACATTTATTAACTTTTCACCTACATATCGTATCAACGTAACACTTAGTTAAAAAGTATTTTGTGCAATAGAGAATAGCAGTTTAAATACAGGGGCGGATCCAGCTTTTTTTGTTACTGTTACTAAATTGCGATGATTAGAGTCTGGGAACCTGGGAAGAAAAAAGCCCAAAAATTTGGCCACAACTACCCCAAACGTGAGAGCAACAAGTTGACACAATATTTTTTTTACAATTTTCAACTAAAGTTATATTTATCGATAAATGTGAAATTTCATAATCTCTAGAGATTATAAAGATTGAGGGGAATTAAATTTTATTTCGTCATAACTTTTGAATGCTAAAAGATTATTGTATGCAGTTTAATATTTATTGATGAATATAACTTTAGTTGTAAATGGTAAAAAAAAGGTAGCTGTGGCCAAAATTTAAGGCTTTTTGTCATCATTTTTTTTTGTTTATATCGTGTTACAATTATATAAATCGTAATACACTTATATAAATCGTAATACACTTATATAAATCGTAATACAATTATATAAATAACTTTATAAATAAAAGCTTTACAAATATAAACAAGGTTTCTGATAGAAGATCTCATTGATCTTGTCGTCAGAACCTTTTAAAAGCGTAAAAAGCAACAACAGTAAAAATAAATAAGAAATTAAATATTATACAGTGCGTTATTGCATATTAGAAGTAAGTCATTATATCGTTTATAGAAAAAATAAATTTTTTTAGTTTATTTTTAAAAAGTTCGAATGAAGTTGATAAATCAAAATTATTCAAAACAATTTTGTTGTAGAGATACGGTGCACGATATCCAATACAAAATTGATTAAACTTTGTACGACAAAATGGTTCATTTCAAAAATTATCATTTCGCAAAGTATATTTATTTATTTTTTTGATAAAAAAAATCTTTAAAAATGGATAGTGCTGAGTCATTTTTACATTAAAACTTTACATTAAAACAAAAACACAAAATTTTATAAATGTTGAGTTGATATACATTAAGGACATTCGCATCTTTAAATAAAAAGTTTGAATGCGTTAAACGATTTTTAAAATATATTAAACGCATAGCGTGTTTCTGACGACGATAAAGAAGTCGCAATTTACTTTTGTTTGTGCTTCCCCAAGCAATATTGGCATAGTTAATATAGCTATGTATAAAGGAGTAGTAGAGTTGCATTAAACTCTTTTTATCTTGAAAATATCTGATCTTAAATAGGATGCCAATTGATAATTCATTGTTAGTAGTTTTTTGTTCCCAGGCTCCAATCATCGCAATTTTTTGCATAGCATCTTTATTTGACATAAGTATAAACATATAAATTTTTGGTGTTTGCTCCATGCCAGGAAGTTAGTTATCTCAAATAACAAAAAATGCTGGATCCGCCCCTGAAATAAGTATTTAATTTGCACGCACAATGTAAAATAAGTATATTGTGAAAATATATATAAACAAATTTAGAAATATTATGTTGCAATCAGTAGCGTAACGACAAAAAATAGGCCTCCCCGCAAAATTTTAATCCGGGCCCCTAAATTACTTCTCCCTCCCCCTCCCCCTTAAATTATACATGAAAACAAAAGCCTTATTTTTAAATACAATTTTGATTTAATTTAATGGAAAAAAAATGTTACATATTGTATAGCTAAGAATTTGTAAATCTTATACAATAATAGCAAAAATGTGATTAAATATATTTGAAAAATTTGGCTTGGACCCTTAATAAGTCTGGGTCCTCCCCGCGGCTGCGGGCCCATCGGTATGCTTCTGGTTGCAATATCATTAAGTCATCAGTGAGCGCAAAAAACAGACAACTTTATTCAAAATTATATAAATTCAGTAAAAATATCAAGCATCAAGACTTCTTTGTTATTATTTCTGCTCCAATATTTACAGGAAGAAAGTAAGCTTGTTGTATTCAGATGTAATGGATGTATGAAACAATTTAATTCAAACGCATGCACAGTGGGCCAGAATTTTTTTTCCGTGGCCAAAAGTCCCAAAAAAGTCAAATTTTCTAAACTTTTTTTTTGTTTTATTATTGAAACATAAGTGCTTTACTTTACTCAAAAATGTATCCGTTTAATTACTAGAGATGAAGGCAAGCTTGCTAGAACTATTCATAATGGCTTTAAAATTGTCGAATTTTCTGAAATTTTTTTTTTTCAAAAATACTTATCCTCAAAATTTACATAACTTTTTTCAATTAAAAAAGCTTTGGACTTTTTTTGATTTTAAGTAAACATATTAACTTAAGCTTGGTTTCCAATAGTTGTAGAAATGTCGTACAACAGTTGTACAACACCTTTGTTTTATAATGGAAACATTTTATACCGTAAGTTGCACAACTTTACGTCGGTTGTACAACAAAACTCATGTTGTACAACTCCGGTTGTGAGTATTGAAAAAATTCTATTTCTGCAACCGTTTTTTTGGTCGCGCAGTTAATTTTTTTATTGGAAACTGCACAAAAACTGTAAAGTTAATAAAACATCTTCATTTTTTACAAAATATGACGACAACTCCATTATGTGTGTTTGAAAAACTATCTAAAGCAGCTTTTATGAATGAAGTTTAAAAATTTCCAGTATTGTATGACAAGTTTAATAAAGATTTTAAAGATAAATGGAAAAAGAAAAATGCATGGGAAGAAGTTGGTCGTCTTTCAAACTTATCTCCTAATCAAGCGGAAGAGAAATATAAAAGCATTCGAAGTAGTTATGGAAGGTGGCTGAAATCAAAAAAAAATATTCCATCAGGTTCTGGAAGGAACTCAGTTCCACCTCAGTTTATTCAGCTCGATTGGCTAAATACTTTTATAGAACATCGCGAAACAACAACCAGTATTTGTTTACCTTCTGACTCCAGATTAGAAACATCGAATTTTGAAGAAAACATTGACATAGTATGTGAGCAAGTTGAAAATACTCATCATCCATTTAATAATGATCATATATCTGAAGATGTGACTACAGAAAACAGCTCTATAAATACTTGTGTGCAAGGAGAGTCAAGTGAGTCAACAATTCACGCTTATAACAAAAAAAAATAAAAAAGTTGGATTCTGATGATTTACTTGATAGAACCTTAGTGAAAACATTAGAAAAAATTAACTCCAATATTGAAAATTCGACTCTTGAAGAGCAGGATGAAGATTATTTATTTATGAAATCATTAGTTCCGCAACTTAAGCGATTAAACAACTATTCTAAAGCCTTGGCTAAAGTTCAAATACAAACATTACTTCTTAAATTAGAGTTTCCAGACAGAGGTGAAACTATCTAGCCTATTACTCTATTTAACTGGTCAATGTGGAAAAACTGTAGTTTAGAAGTAAATAAACTATGAGGTAACTGTTGATAATTTGTTTAAAAAGACACATTCTGGCTTACTATTCTTTTTAACCTATTGATGCAAGAAACATAACATTTTAAGTAAAATTAGATGTGAAGTTACTTTTGATTAATCATTGGAATAGACTAAATTTAGCTTACTATTTTGTTAAGTCTATTGATGTGATAAACTATAACTTATTTTAGAAAATCATGAAGGTATAAAATGTTAATCTTTTATTAATTATTAGGTAACTGTTGAAGTATATCTTTTAACTATAAAAAAAAAAGTAAATTATTGGTTTGTTAAATATAACATATTTTCTTTTATTAGGAAGTTTTGTTTATTACATACATTCTAGTTATTAACTGGATTGTGGCCACACGATTGAACATAGTCCATTTGCCACGAAAGGCTTCCTTCACATGAATTAAAATAATCTTTATAAGTATTTCTTATTGCAATTGCATCAAAAACAGATCTATTACTTGTTGATTTTGAGAAATCAAGCAAACACCCTTGATCTTGTAACTCTTTTCTCCAATCTCCTTGAATAACAATTCCTGAATGACTTTCACTATCAACAAAACCAGTAGGAATATAATGCGCTCCATCTGTTAAACGCAAATAGTTGTGAAGACAAACAGTAGCCTTTATTATATGTTCCACTTTCAATGGCTTTGCTTTAATTGGAGATCTGTATATTCTCCATCTAGCTGCTAAAATTCCAAAACTATTTTCGATTGTTCTACGTGCTCTAGATAAGCGATAATTAAAAACTCTTTGCTGAACAGTAAGATTTTTACCTGGGTACGGTTTCATTAACCATGGTTTAAGTGCAAATATGTCATCTCCAACAAGGACCGGTGGAACTTTAGGATCAAATTCAGAAGTTTTTGGTAAATTAAAATAACCCTTATTAAATGCTCTCCCAAACGTGCTTGCATTTAAAATTACAGCATCATTATCCCTTCCATAAGCCGCAATGTCAACCATTGTGAAACAATATTTAGCATCACAAATTGCTAATAAAACCATGCTGTAAAACCCTTTGTAGTTATAAAAAGAAGATCCAGATTTTGCAGGTGCTTCAATGCGTACATGCTTTCCACCTATAGCTCCTATACATTGTGGAAAGTTCCAATTTTGATCAAACTCTTTAATAATATTTTGCCATTCTTTTACGTCATTTGGGGCTCGTAGAAAGACTTTCTTGAGAACTTTCCATATTGCACAACAAGTTTCTTCAATTATATGGCAAACTGTAGCTCTGCCAACTCGAAAATAAAATGACTGAGTTTGTTGAGATTCTCCTGTAGCAAGGTATCGAATTGTTATAATTAATCTTTGCGACGGACATATAGAATCTCTACTGGGACAATACTTTTTCGTTAATGAAGATCCAATTAATGACAAAAGATGTTCAAGTCTGTCAGGAGACATTCTTAAATATCGATAAAAAAATTCTCTATCAAATAGCTTCATTTCTTTCACCAAAGAACTAAATGCACCTTGCTGAACACGTTTTTTAAATAGTTCTCTCACCCAAAACTGATGTTTTCTTTTTTTTATCCTTTTTCGGCGTTTTAAAATTAAAAGTATAACAAAAAGTCGATAGTTTAGAGTAGCATAATTTCTAGTGGCGGCCATTTTTTTTTGTTATTATATAAAAAATTTAGCGGCAATTCATTATAATGGAAACACAACGTTGCACAACAAGTTACCGCACAACAAATCAAAGGTATGTTGTACAACTGTTGTAAGACATTTCTACAACTATTGGAAACCAAGCTTTAGTGCTAATAAAAAGTAAATGTTTTAGTTATATATTTGTATTTAATTTATTCATAATATGTCTTAGAATTGTTGGTATTTTAAAGAGGTTTTTTATAAATTTCCTCGTCTCCTTTTTCTAAATGCCACTCGAAGATTGTTTGATTTTCTGATTTTTGCATTTACTAAACGGCAGTTATTATTTAAAAATAAAACCAGCTGCGACCATGTATTCTTTATGATATATTTTTTAGTTCAAAATCGACGACATTTTTTGCTTTTATAAAAAGACCAATTTAAAGTTAAGATATTTGTTTAAGGAATATAGTTTTTTTTTTTTTTAATTTTAATAAACACATCGAACCGTTTTTGTTTAAAATAACCTTTTGTTTATTATTTTAATTTTTTCTAAAAAGGAAAAAAAAGAAAATCATTTCACTATAAATATGTAAAAATCAAATATTTAAGTATTCGATTCCAACCAAATGCCGCTCTCTTGAAATTGGAATTAATGATATTTAGGAAGTATAACGGTTGTTTAATACTATTAAATGAAATCAGCTGCGACTAGCTATAATTTAGACTTAAAATCGATTTTGAAATTTCAAGATTTTAAGCTACTTTAATTCTTACTATACAATGCATTATGACGTGAAAAAAATTATTTGTCAGGAAATTTGAAGTTTATATGATATGGAAGACAACTTAGTTAATAATTGCAGCAATTTGATTAAAAACTTTTAACGTTAAAAACTTTAAAAAACCTTAAGCATAACAAATTAACTAAAATTAAAGTAAATACTTGATGGTCATAGTACTAATAAACAAACACACCAAGTTTTGTAAAGCAAGATATTTAAAAATAATTTTATAAACTAATAACTAAAAAACAGCCGATAATGCATGATTATATCACTAAAAATAAAAATAAAACTGAAAATAGCTGTTACACATGTTTACATTTATAAACAACCGAGCCATGAAGTATGTTTATCTTTCAATGATATGTTTTTTGAAGAATTTTTTATTAACACGGCGCCGTTATGTCGATAAACCTTTGAAAGTTTATATATAACATGCAGAAAATGAAATCTCCTTAGCGAAGACCGGTATGCATTTTCATCGTTTCATTTATAGATCATTGTAAAATGATAACTAAAATAAACTAGACTGGATGAACTCTTTTTTGCTGTCTTGCTCGATATATATCGTTTGCAGGAGGCTGGAAGGATGATTCATCGTCGCTATCTCCAGCAGAACGTTTTAAGCCTCGATTTTCTGCCAACGTTGATGCTAAAACAGCTTTTTAATATATAAAGAAATATAATAGAAAACTACATAAACATAGGGCAACAATCACTCTTATGAATTTTTTTTCCAAAAAAAAAGTGTTAATACATATATTACACACAAGCTGGTGATTTTATACATTAGTGTGGTATCAATCTTTAGGCAAAAATATGTAGGTAAAATAGCATAGAAAAGCATACAAATGTTAGGTGGGAGAAGTCTGGTAAACAGTTATTAGTAATGTTTTTAAAAAAATAGTAATGTTTTTAAAAAAATATTAATTTAACAAGTTTTTTTAAAATCAAATCACTCCTGACAAGGCTGCAAACAACCACTATTTAAGTAGAGAATTAGCAGAAAACAAAGAAATTTGTTAAAGAAAAAGAAAACAAGACTTAAAAAACGTTAGTATGAGCGTGTCTTGTATGTGTAATGTATGAGTTGAGACAACATGAAGATAAGAGACAGTTCCAAAACAAACGAAGGTTTTTAGAGCATGAAGGAACAAATACACTATAAACGAAAATGAGTTTTGGTTGATGCAACTAGGGATGAGAGCTCATGTGAGCAGCAACCACCATAGTATTTGTAGAAAGGAGAAAAATATGCAATGGGACAGTGGCTCAAGCTTGACAAACAAAGCAGATCCAACTACAATTACAAGTTAAAATTGACAAGCGATCGCGAGCCTTAAGGTGTTACAGAGACATAAACAAATATTATCTGAAGGAGAGACAAATATATATTATCTGAGGAAGAGACATAAATACATATTACCTAAGGGAGAAATATTAATAACCTGAGGGAGTTACATACCACATTGCTTAGGGTGTCATGCATTATCTATCGTTGAGTCAAGTTTTCTAATAAACTAAAACATAAAAAATCATCACTACAATTTGATTTTTCAATCTATATTTTACAAATAATTGTGGTGTTAGCAGTAACTTGAATTTTACTTGTTTTAATTGTGGTGTTAGCAGTAACTTGAATTTTACACTGGCATAAGTAAGCTTCAGCTTTTACATGCTAGGCCTGGGCACACATTTACATACCAATTCTTCTATTTGTTAAGAAATCAGGTAAAAATCTTCTGGCGATTCTTTTGTCATTGATGTGCCTCCATTTAGCACCTTCTCACTCAATCACCTTTACTTTTAATCTTTATTGTTCTCTTCTCAACACTGCTTTCTTTTTGATGTTATTTCTAATCAAGTTGATTAAGCCATTTTACTTTATCCATTAGCCAATACGGTTATTGGTCACTTTAATTCTCATCACATTGAATGGCTTAACTCTAGTACTACTGACCTTGCTGATACTAAAGCTTTCAAGCTATAGTATATGCTAATATTTGATTCTCTCATTTTCTAGACTAATAATTTACTTCATCCCTTGATTTGGGTATCTGAACCTAGTGCTCAGTTTCGTATTGTTCTCATTTGAATTGTTCGAGCCACAATACAATCCCACTAAAACATTTATCTCATATTTCTGCTGCTTTAGACTAAACATTAAACTCACCATTAACAATCATCGCATTTTTTGCTACTACCTTAATGCTGACCCTTTGTAATTTTCTTTGTAACAGTCTTTGGACTGATGCCTCTCTCCACTTGCTGCAATTATCTCCACTGATAATTGCAGCAAATGAAGTGAAATCATAAAAATTTTAAAAATATGAATCATTTTATACAAAACATTGAGAAAAAAAAAACTATAATCAAAAAATTTTGTTGAATTCCCTTTTTTTCATTTTTAGTTTAAAAAATGCCATTTTCTATTCACTAAAATTAAAAATAACTTATTTGTAAAATGATTCATTTTTATATAATTTCGCTTTATTTGAGACCCAATATAAAATACTTCTAAAAATTTTTTTTTGATAATATTAGGGGCTCATCTGATGCAACCCCTAAGACAAATTTTTTTTCAAAAAATATTTAAATCCAGTATTATTTTATTATATAGAACACACTTAAGGGTTGGAGAACATCTGTTTAATTTTGTTTTTAGAATCATCCTATCCTACATAATCTCCTGGATTCAGGCAGATATGCTAGTCTTAAATCCCGTCTTGTCAATTTCAAATCAATCCCTATGCTGCCCAATGATTCTCACCTTTTTGCGCAGCTGCCTTTTCTTATTCTAATTATTTATTTTGTTTTTTTCATAAGGAAAAATTTCTTGCATATAAATGTCTTATTGTTTAAAGAAAATCAATGCAAGAAATAGTTGACTGATGCTAAGCTCAGTTATTCTCACTAAATGTCACACTTTATCGTAAAAGTTAGGTTTGATTAACTTTTAGAAAATATTTAACAGTTTAACTGCCAAAGATAAGTCTATCATTCCAACTCATGGAATACATGGTCTGATCTTATTACCTTTACAAAGAATCCTATAGACATAAAAATTAAAGAACTTTTTCTCTTAATCAACTCTTCAATTTTTTGACCACACTCTTCTTGCCATCCTAGATAAACAGGATAATCAATTGCTATACATCAAAACTACTCTGGGTTTTTTTGCTAAAGTTATTTTTCTCTACCACTCAACTCTACTACAGTGGTCAAACATTTGTGTCATATTCTTACAGAACTGTTCTCCTAAAGTCTCTCTTAACTATTTAATTATCTATAAACAACAAGTAACTGAGTCTCATTTTTCTATATGCTGGAAAATAGCATCTATAATTTCAACTTATAAAACTTTGAAGATCGCTTTAACCCCTCTAATTATTGCCCAATCATTTTTTTTTACTATTATTAGCAAAGTCTTTAAGTCTTAAACTAAAAACATCGCAGTCTCTGACAATAAAAGATCCTCTCTTTTTACTGCTAATTTTTTAACTGTTAGCGACCGTTATTATGACCATTATAAAAGGCTCTATCTTGCATTAGATGGAAGCAGTAAGGCAAAAGGTTTTGACAGGCTTTCAATAAATAATAACACAACATACTGCAGTCTTGACAAAAAGTCAATTAGCTGATTGTAATCAGCTGACCTTGAATCTGATTGTTTTTTACTCCTTATTCCATTGGAGTTAAACTTAAAAAAAAAAATTGTCTTTAATTGTGACAATTTTCTCTATAACATTACATTACATGAAATTGAAATCAATGATAGGTGTGATATTAATTAATCTCTATTTGTGATAATTCTATTTTTTTAATTATTGAAAAATATTAAAAATGACAGTTTTCAAATGATAAAATTTTGGTAACCACAGATCTTCTCTAAGCAGTTAAAAATTTTACGCACTTGTAATGCATTTGAGATGCGTTTGTATAATGCATGCAAGACTTGTGGTGCTGCAGCTACAGTTGTTTCCTCAGCAATTATGATTAAAAATAATGAATATATATGTTCCAAAAAGCTAACCTTTTCGACTGATTAAGATTTTTTGTTTCAGTTTCATACAGACATAAAATCGTTTTTTGTTTGTTTTATGTTTTATCTGCTCACCCAAAGTGGTTAAGGCTTTTGGTTCATAGAATGTCTTTTTAATGTAGTATTATAATTTAGTATGTAGATTTGCATTTATCTGATGATTCAATAATTTAACATGCGCATGTCTGTATATGTAATATGCAAACGATATAGTTCTTGTACAAAAAGTCAAGGGCCCAACTTAATTCAAATAATTATATATAAATTGTGTTGAGATATAAGAATATAAAATCTGGAGATTTATAACATCTGGAAAATAATAATCAAAACTACAGAGTTAACAAAGTACCATTCACTGTCTGTTATTTTGTGACCATTCATAGCCTGTTATTGGTCAATAATAATAATAATAATAATAATAATAATAATAGCAATAATAATAATAATAATAATAATAATAATAATAATAATAATAAAACAATTAACAATATTAAAAACATTTTACCTTTTAAACTTTCATCAAGAACACATTTTGAAATAAGATTAATTAGCTTATCAAGATTAACAAATGGACCCTGGCAAAAAAAAGTTATACATTTTTTTTAATGAAATATTTAATTCAGTTGAAATTAAAATTAAACAACAAAGTATACAATATAGTAACAATTTATCTAAAAATTACCCTAAAACTCATTGGTGGAGGTAAAGCTTGCAGTAATTCAGCAACAGCTGGAGGAGGAGCAAATACACCACCTGATGCAATATTTCCAATGACTATGACCAGAATTAAATTTTTTTTTAAAAACAGGATTTTATTTTTATTTTTAATTCAATTAATTTTTAATTTTATAAATTAAAATAATCAAGTTTAAATAAATGGGTGATATCACCTCGATTATTAACAGCAGCAGTTGGTTTAAAAGGCTTCATTTGGTTGACATCTGGTTTTGGTAACTCTTTTTTTACAACTTGAATACTAGTATCAGCAATAGGAGCAGGGGTCAAATTATCCAAGTTTTTAACCTTGGTCACCCTCTTTAGAAAAAGATCAATCAGTTATTTAATACCTTTTAAATTTAAACAATCAAATTTAACAAACAAATTTAGCAATATGAAACTTACTGCTGTATATCCCATACTTCTCAACTCACTTAATGAACATGGTAGTAAATCTAAATACTTGTAACGTTCTATTAACATTGTAGTATCTCTTTCATCAACACCATCCTATTTATTGAATAATGACAAACATTTATATCAAGTTTAACAGACCAGCATTTCAATTGTAGAAAAAATCATGCAGAACAACGCTATAACACCTTTTTATTCTGATTATCAATTCAGTAAAAAAAAAAACATAACTTAATATTAACTTAAATTTAAAAAAAACATAACTTAACATTATAACTTAAATTTGTAAAAAAGCTGACAAAAATGAAAAGAAATTTAAAAAATAAACAAGGCAATTATCAATCAACACAAAATTTTTCTTCTACGAAAGTAAAAAGCCATGGGATTTCTTTAAAATTGTCATTTTTTTCAAAAAAACATCTGTAAAACTTTCATTGAAATTTGTTTGTACAAATTTCAACAAAATCAATAAAATTAAAATAAATAATAATAATAATAACAATAATAATAGCAATAATAATAATAATAAATAATAAAAAGGCTTCAAAATGAAAGCAGTTGACAGAAAACTTGAAAAACTCTAAATTGTTACAGGTAGTAAAAAAATGAAAGATTTCAAAATATTTGGAGCATAAAAGAACAATTAAATTAAAAAAAAAAAAATTACTTTATTGAATGACAAATTACACAGGATATGGTCTTGGTTAATGGAACAAATAATAATAGCAACCTGGTAGCATTTGTAGGAGAAAAAAATAAAAGATACAATTACAAAGATGTGATAGAGATATTTAACAACTAAAGCAGGTACAACAACTTAACACTGCAAACTTAAACTTTATTTAAAAGAGAAAGGATATCATTAGAAAAACCAGCCATAGTAATAATAAAATAACAATACTCCATACAAGGGCAAAGGAAAAAGCATCCTATACAATAAAAAAATAGATAACTGCTTTTCAAGTCAAAAATTGCAAGATTTAGCATGATTTAAACAATACACAAATGAAGAAATTTGCAAGATTTAACATGATTTAAATAATACACAAATAAAGAAATTTGCAAGAAACAATAAAAGAAACAAGAAGCCATAAAAGAAACAAGAAGCCAGCAGTGAAGAGCAAAAATCAAAATAAAATCAAAACTTTAAAATTATTTTAAATTAAAACTAATAAAAATACTTTTATTAAAATTTATAAAATTAAAAAAAATTAACTGAAATACACTTAATTCCCGGTAAGTCGAACACAGGTTATCTCGAAGTTTTGTTATCTTGAACTATTTTCTATAGTCCCATGAAAGCAATAACAATTGTATTACTTTGCTTAAGTCGAACATTAGTTTAGTCAAACTGTTTTCCTTGGTACCTTAGAGGTTCGAGTTAACAGAAATTTACTGTACTACTAAGAAAGTAATTAAAATGAGAAAAGAAAAAGAAAGTGCAAAAAACCACAAAAAAAAACAACCACATCTAATAACAATAAAAAACAAAGTTTTTTTAAATATTCTATAGGATGATAATCTTATTCAAGTTTTTTTTTAGATAAAATAAAAAAAAAACAATAAGAAAAAAAAAATTTGTTTACAGAAAACCTTGTTTAACAAGCAAACAAAAAAGTGACTTTGTTTAACAAGCAAACAAATAAGTGACTTTGTTTAACAAGCAAACAAACAAGTGACTTTGTTTAACAAGCAAACAAAAAAGTGACTTTGTTTAACAAGCAAACAAAAAAGTAACTTTGTTTAACAAGCAAACAAAAAAGCAACCTTGTTTAACAAGTAAACTAAAAAGCGGCAACAAGGTTTTTGTTTCTGAGTTTAGGGTTGACAGAATCTCAAAAAATAAATATATATATAAAAAAAACAACTCACTTTTGTAAAAAAACTTGGTAAAAATTTGTCAATAACAAGTAAATACCTGGCGAGGCACACACATTCTTTTGTCGATTTTAAAAATACTCCCCAAATCACCATACTGAGCTTCAAACTCCATATAATGACCCAATATAAACCTAAAAAATATTTAGATAAACTCCATACAAAAACAACCTGAATAATAGAGTAAAAATAGTTTCTAGTTGTAACAATGTAATTGTAAATAAAAATGTTTTTAAAGAAAAAAAATTAAAATAATATTACATGTAATTACTTTTTTATTATACTTTGAACTTAAATGTTTTGATTCTAAAAAATCTGAAAGTTTATATTTGTGTTACAACAGTATATTAAATATTAAACATAGAAATCCTGTCTATTTTTATTCAAGACTCTTGAACAAATAATAAAGTTTAAAACTTGTGAAGTTTTTCACAAAAGAACTTTGATTGTATTTAATAGGAAACTACCTTCGTAATTCAGTCGGAACAAGACTCAGTAACCTTTCAAATACAACACGTGTATTATTATCATCTAAAATAAATTTTTTTTTTAAATTTCGAGAAAATTTAAAAAATTTAAAAAGTTTTTTAAACAAAAGATTTTTTGTTTACCATTTTGTGCAATTTTATAGTCAATATATGCCTTTAGATAATCTTCATTGTCTGCATATTTCTTAACGATACAAATAATTAACTTTAAACAAATTAACATTTAATAACATAAATTATATATATTTACATATATATATATATATATATATATATATATATATATATATATATATATATATATATATATATATACATACATATATATATATTATTCGGAGGGCTGTATATATATATATATATATATATATATATATATCCCTCGGAATTAGGGTCAGGGGCAATGTCGACCTAATTGCTGACCTGAAAGTGCTTGAGGTTGGCAAAAAATTGCTGACCTCGTTTCTATGTTTTATGGTCAGACCTTTGTATCAAATAATTTTTGCCGACCTCATTTTTCCTAATTCTGAGGGTTGATATATATATATATATATATATATATACTAGTTGTCCGGACTCATAAAATACAGGTCTTGGTAAATCTATTCCACAGCTACCTTTTCTATACTTATTCCTTACTTCAATATTTTTTAGTTGGTGGAAGAAAAATAACTATATCCATATACAAAAACTATACTTATTGTTTAGTTTTTAAAGCTTTGAAAATAATAAGTTTAATTAACTTTAAAAATCTAAAAACATTTCTTAATTAATTACCATCAGTTTAAAAAACTTAAAAAACATGAGATGACTTAAATATGTGGAATAGCGGACTTACCATGACCCGTATACTGATCATTGTAAGTCTATTCCACTCCAACTATTTTAATAATTTCGCTTTATTTCAATAAGTTTTAAAAATAAGCAAAATACAAAAAAATTTGTTTTGAGTTAACGATTTATGTTTAATACTTTATAATTTCTACAAAAATAAAGAACAAAAAAAAAAAAGCGAGAAGGGGCTTGATTATTTTTTTCTTTAGTAAGTTTCTATTATTTTTTTCAAACCAACCACAGCTTATTAGGTCTCTTGCCCCGTTAATTAAATTAAAGAAAGTTAAAGTTGGCAAATAAAATCATTTTTCTATAAGAAAGAAAGTTGTCTCTTTAATGCATGTTAAATGTGCAAGCAAATTACTTAAGCACAGCGTAAGTTGTTAATCATAAACAATAATAAATTAATTATAAGCACATAAACTTTATGTGCTTATAATAAATTTATCTTTATCTCTATCATGACATATGGGCAAAAAATTTCCAATGATGTTTTCATGTTTTTAGAAATTTTAAAAAGCTTTTTAAAAAATTCTCTCCCTTTCGTTTGTTATAGTATGTAATGTTTTTATGTGTTATGGATATAATATCCATAGTATTTTTAAAATGTTTTATTTTTTATTCTAGAAAAGTAGAAAAAACTAAAAAAATAAATAAATTTATAAGCAAAAGGATTTTAAGCCACACAAAGCACATCAACCACTTCAGCATGCTTTATCATCTTTTAAATCTGTTTACAAATCAAAGACTTATTAATAATAAACATTTATAGCATATAAATGCTATAAATCAAAATGAAGACATATTGTCGAAATGAAATTTTCAAGTAAAAGTAAATCTGTAAAATTTGATACAATTTACATAACTTGAAATTTACAGGTTAGTTATTTGCATAGGCTTTCAATTAAAAAAGTAAAAAATGCATACTATTTACAAATAAAAGTATATTTAATAATTATTTCATTTATGATAATGATAATAAAAGATTCAAAGATATTTCAGAAATTTATAAATGTAAAATAGGTAGTACAAAAAACTAACGCCGTGTATATCTGTGTATCATATATACAGCATGTACATTTATGCATCATATCTACAATGATTTGCGCCTTATAAGTTAAAAGCATTCAAGTCCTTCCAATATTATACAGAATATAATACTCAGTGAAGAACCCAGATGTGTTTTAGTACCGTTTTACCGGTATGGGCGCCCAAAAAAAAGCGCCCAAAAATTATCTTTATTTTTAATTTTTCTTTTGATTTCTTATAAAAAATAGAAAAAAAAATTTAGTTTTAAATGCAGTAGTATATAAATAATTATCAGTTTAATTTAGCTACCTGATTTTTTCTTCAGGAAAATAAAAAGAATTAAAAAGAAATTGCTTTTTTACATAACTACATGAGTAATTTGCCTTCGGTTATTAACTGGACATAACTTTTAAAAAAATGAAAGTCGTTAAGAAACTTAATTTTAAAACCACGTTGCAAAATTTTATAACAATCAAATGTATATAAGATTTGCTTTTTTGAAAGTTAAAGCGTTTTTAAATATCCATTCAGCATAAGGTTAATTTTTCTTTTTGGCAATTAAGAGTAAACTGCTTTTAATAATAAATGAACAAAAGTAAAAAAAATCAGTCCTTATAACTATCGCGCAAATTTAATTTTAAAATGAATGAACTTTAGATCTTTAGCTTGCTATTTTAGTTTACGTAAAAAAGGGTAATAACGAAGTATAATCTTTTTCAGACAGTTTTTTTTCCTTTCAATATTCTTTTTAAAATAATATAAAAAAAAGGTTTTAATAACTTAATAAAAGTTTTATTTAGATCTGTTTAAAATAACCCATAGTAAATGTAATTTATCTATTCAAATGTAATTTTTTTAATTATTCTTAATAATTAAAAATATATTTTGTTTTAAATATGTTTTTAAAAATATAATATGGTTTTTAATCAAAATAATAAAATATTTTTTAAATTATGTTTACTGTAATTATCTCTTTTATTATCTTCAATTTAAAAGGCGCCTTAAAATCACTTTAAAAATTATAACCTTTAGTAAAAGTTAAATGAACAATTTTACTAATATTTAAATCAAAATTTTAAATTGAAAATAAGTTTATTAAATGCTTATGTTTTTATTCGAATAGCTTATTAAATACGTTTATTAAATGCTTATCGAATTCGTTTATTAAATGCTTATGTTTTTAATTCAAATACAAGGACGTAAAACTATTTTGTTAATTTTAAAAATATTACGTGATATAATATATGTAAATATATATGTAAATATATTATGTAATGTAAATATTGATTAAAAATTGTTTAAAATATTTTAAACTAAATTTACTAAAATATAGTTAATAACTGTTTCAAATACTTTAAACAATTTTCAATAATTATTTAGTGATAACGTGGTATATGCAACAAAAACATTTATTAAAATCTTAGGTAAAATAGTTTTCTTTCAGCTAAAGTAACATCGTCCACCAGTAAATTCATGTATTCAAAAAATACCTTTAAACCAGCACCTTATTATAGGATAAAACTGAACAAAATAAACATAAACGATTGTTAAGAAAATGATGATTAAAAGTTATTGTTGCGGCACCCGTTTAATTAGAAGAGAATGAGGGGGAGGGGGAAATCAAAAACATAATCCCTCCTTCCCCCCTTCAACGTTGCTGAAAAAAAAAAAAAGGTATGCCCAAATAAACTCTGGGTTCTTCACTGATACTATTTTGATAGTTATCTAAATTCTGTCATTGTTGCGCACTCGTTTTAGAATGATTAACGGTGGTGTGGTAAAATAGCTGTAAAACTTTAAATTTCTTTATTACCTTAATATTATGTATTTTTAACTTTTTATTACTAAAATTATAATTTTATTAAAATGGTTTATTTTAAATTTAAAGTTAGAATTTTGACTTATGTTCTTATTAAAAACATATTTTTTAAACCCCCTTATTGTTTAAAAAAAGTGAAGGTCCCTGCGTGGCAAGTTCAAATCATCAGCTTGCTTTTTTTTTAATGTTTGTTATTTAAAAACAAACTTTTTTCTTCAAAAGCGTTTTACTTTGTATTTTAGAAAAATCGAAAAATATTAAACTAAAAAAAAAAGCCAATGGTAGGAATCAAACCTGGACTTCCTGCCTCAGAGCATTGCGTGCTAACTACTCAGCCACGCAGACTTATTGTCTAATGTAAATTTTAAAACTATATAATATATTAAAGACATCAAACGGAATTCAAATCAAATGTTGCCGCAATCCAATTTTCAAGTGAAAGTAAAACTGATATATGTTTTAGTATGTTTTTAACCTTACATAATTTGAAGAAAGTTAGATACTACTCTTTCTCACTATTACCTCGGTTGCAATGGAGTATTTCTAATGAGGATTGACATGTTCCCTATTATATTATAATATGATATATATTATTTTTTTAAGTTAAACACCCACTATACAATCACAGGTTTAACACTCTTGTGTGATTTAGAAAAGTTTTTGTAATACCATTTTCTTATTCAAATATAACCTTATAGGAGAGTTTTTAACCTATGCACATCTGTAAACCTTTTCTGGTTGCCTCAAGCTTTTTTCCAAACCAGGAATGAGCATTTTTATTGTAATACTGGCACAAAGAGGACTACCATCTTAAGTTTATGAGCTTCCTCTAGTCATTTGCACAAGTGAGGGTATGAATAGATAGATACAAAATAAGATTATTTAAGAACATGTAACTAATGTTCAACTTTACAAAAGAAACAATAAAAGAACTTTAAAATTTTTCATGTACTGTCAATGGAAAGTGTTATTTTAGCATAATTTACTTGTTATTCATATCAGGTTTTTCACACCTTTTAGCATACTTTCTCTTGGGTTTAAGACTCATTTGATGAAAGAAGAATCCAAATTCTAAACACTAATTTAATTTTAGTTAACTTATGTTTTTAATATTCTATTTTCACTATTATATACCATACTTTATTATCAGATACTTATCATATTTTTATCAGATATTTATCATTAAAACTTTAGTTAAGATAGCTGTCAAATGTAGTCAAAACATGACTTGCAAATATAACAAATTTATAAATAAAATTAGAAAAAGGTTATTTATATTATATTTATATATGTATTTTTTTTATATATGTATATATATATATATTTTTTATATATATGTGTGTATATATATATATATATATATATATATATATATATATATATATATATATATATATATATATATATATATATAATAAAGCCTACACAAAGTATATACTTTTGGTAAATAAAATGTTAAATATGTTTTTTATGTTATTCTTTAAAAACTTCTCACATGATGCAATTTCAACATGTATTGTAAACTTAAAGTTTAAAATTGTTTCTTTTTAAATTAAAAAATTAAGAAATTTAGTTAAGTGTTAAAAAAATTGATGATTATGTTATATTATGTAAAAATTAATAAATAAATAAATTATTCTATATTATTGTTATGTATTATATTATAAATTAAATAATTGGAATGTTAAAAAGTAGTTGAAAAGTGTGAATGTTAAAAAGTAGGCAAAATATATGCATGAGTTACAAAAGAATTTAACATTATACCAGGTTTTCAGTATTTGCTGGAAATTCAAAAACTTAAACAATACGAATTTCTAGACAATAAAGAAAAGTTTGCCTATAACAAATATAAATGTCTATAAATGTGTCTCAAAATGTCAACAAACAAAGCTATTGTTTAGACTATATGCGAAATAAAGGCAAAAACAAAACATACAACTATATAACAGTACAACTAAACAAAGTTTATTCAAATAGAACAAAAAACAAACAAATACAAAGTGAAAGGCATACAAGGGTCTAAGTGAAAAAAAAAAGTGCAATGTAATTTGAAAAACTAATATTTTAACTTTACAAGTATCCAACTCATTTATCCAAAGTTTAATCACAAATGCCTTTTTAAACAATTTGTCGTTCTCCCACTTGTAAATATAGTATGATCATCAAAATTTTTATATTCAATGACATTTTTATTTAAAAAGAAGAGAAATTAATAAACTTTTATAGAAGTACGATCGATTGTTATAAGAAATCAACAATATATTGTATAAGAGCTTTTTTACACTGCTGTTTTATTAAACTGATTATATTAAAATATTTTTATATTAATAATTTTTTATTTAATCAATAACTAATGATAAATAATTGAAATTTTTTTTTTATAGAGAATTTTTAAAACTTTTTGAAATTTAATCGCTAAAAAAAATCTTTTCAATACCTCTGGAATGAAGAACGAACAAAATAAAAATTCAATAGAGATATCAAAAATTATCATCAAAACATAATTTTAATTTCTTAAAAAAAATGCCTGCACAAGTCCATCAAGGCAGGCAGCCCACAAAACCTTTAGACAGGCTATTCATAGTTTGTGCACTCAGTTACTTCTACTGAAACCTGAAATTTTTATTCTGCCGTAAAAAAAATCATTTATACCTAGATAATAATTGCCCATACCTAATCCCTTAACTAGTGTATTGTGTAATCATTTAGCAGGTGTATGTACTGTAGGTGTAAGCTCTAGCTCTTTATAGTAGTATGACATAATTAATGATGGTTGATGATGTCATACTGTGTTTAAATCTTAATGAAAGACAATTACTCAAACATTTTATATATACATATATGTATATATACATATATATTTATATATACGTATATATACATATATATGTATATATACGTATAATTTTATATATACATATATGTATATATACATATATAAGTTTATTGATAAAAATGAGTAATCTGAGGTTTATGTCAATTTTCTACATTTAAATCTTTTGACTTCAACAGAAGCAAATTAGGTTATTAAATACGAAACCAGATGCCCAGACCGACTTAACATCTAGATCTTAATTTGAATCAATTAAAAACCTGTGAGCTTCATCAAAAAACTATCAACCTGTGAGCTACATCAAAAAACTATCAACCTGTGAGCTTCATCAAAAAACTATCAACCTGTGATCTTCATCAAAAAACTATCAACCTGTGAGCTTCATCAAAAAACTATCAACCTGTGAGCTACATCAAAAAACTATCAACCTGTGAACTACATCAAAAAACTATCAACCTGTGTATCAAAGGGTGTAGTAAAAACTATCAAAGGGTGTAGTAAAAACTAAAAGTAGTACAACTCAATATTAAAAAAAAAAGCAAAACAAATCACATTGAGAAAAGTACTAAATTATTTTATTAAAAAACTTTAGATTTAGTGAATAATCTCCAAAATATTGTTTGGATATTTATTTAATGTTAAAAATTTATTTGAATGGAAATTTTGTTTGAATCATTTGGTTTTATTTAAATTTTTATTTTATAAAATAATGATTTTCATACACTGAACTCAACAAAAAATTTGCTTTCCTAATATTCTTGAAACTTTTTATTGTAAATTTTTTGAAATTACTTTTCAAAGTAATTTTTCATTCAATTTTTTTTCAAAGTAATTGTGCCTTAACATCACTCACTTTTACAAACTTAGGTTGGCACTGTCCTAGTATATTTTGCAAATATATACAAATATATATATATATATATATATATATATATATATATATATATATATATATATATATATATATATATATATATATATATATATATATATATATATATATTTATTTATTTATGTATGTGTTTATGTATGTATCAGGCTTTCTAGTAGAAGGCATGCAATTGTACGTTTTACATGACCATGCATATAATATTTTATTTTGACAGCTTGGTCACTTGAAAAGAGCAGTGGCCAAGTTTTTAAAACAAAAATTATGAGCCTTGTCAGAAAATCTGAAGTATTTATGTATGCAAAGGAAAAAAAAATACCTTTAAACCAAGTTCAAAAATATTAGATGCAACTTTTGGATCCTAAAGTTTTGAATTTAAAAAATATTTAAAAATTAAATTGTTTGTAACTTTAACTTAAAAATATTATAAAAATAGAAAAATTTATTTTTTTACCTTGTTACAATAATGTTCTATTAGAGAAGCACAAATGAAAACCTATGAAAAAAAATGTTTGTTTAGAGAAACACAAATAAAAATCAAAAACTGAATATATCAAAATAAAAACAAAAACTGATTGTATAAAAATCTAATTGAGATTAAAAAGTTTTTTTTGGACTTAAAAACAAGTGGTGAACTCAAGATCTCTTGGTCTAAAGTCAAGCATGACCAATGTGCCACGGCTGCTAAATTATAAAACCAGTATATACTGTAATAGAAAACATTTTTATTTTTGAAACATAAGTTATTAACAAAAAACTATTAAAATATAGTAATTATTTTTGCCCGGCACTTTTCTGCTAAAGCAATTTATTAAAATACTACAAAGCCCTTAGCATATGCTGAGTGCTGAGGTTAATTTTGCACATTATTTATATATATAAATATATAGGAATATATAGGAAGTTGCATCAACTACACTCAAAAAATCTTTCCTTGCGTATTAAGGAAAAAAATTTCCTTACCGGTTTTTCCTTAAAAATTTACTTACCGTAGTAAAAAGTATTTCTTCATTTAAGGAAACTTATTTCCTTAAATCCAAATTAAGTAAAAACAAAGTAAATATTTTAAAGGAAATACGTTTTTATGGTATTCGATAAAAACATATTAACTTAAAATAATGTGTGCCTTTAGTGCTTCAGTAATGGCACTGATATCATATGAAATAATAAAGATACATTATGTTTAAAAAGTTATTTATTTACAAAAATTATTGTTATTTTTATTATAAGAAAAAAGTAAATTGTTTCCCAATCGTCATAGAGTATTAGAAAAATTGAACAAGCTGGTATAATTATATAAAAGCCACATATATGTGTATGGCCCATACACATACATGTGGCTTTTATATAATTATACTAGCTTATTCAATTTTTGCCATACTATGGCAATATTATACTTTGTTGTACTATGGCATACTATCGAGTTTTCCATACTATGGCAAGTGTATGCAATGAACTTGGCTATTAGGCAAGTAGGATCAAATATGCTTGATTTAATTACTTTTCTACGTTAACCTAAGTTTAAAATTATACTTATAAACTTCATAAGAATATAAATGTTTCACAGTATATATATATATATATATATATATATATATATATATATATATATATATATATATATATATATATATATATATATATATATATATATATATATATATATATATATATATATATATATATATATATATATATATATATATATATATATATATACTGTTTGTTTACTAAGCTTGGCATAGTAAACAAACTTGTATAATTACTTCAGTTTTGTTATTTTGTGTGCTCATCATGCTACAGTTATTATATTGTATTAGCTTGAATTTTTGGCTGAATAAGCAGCCTTGTTTCATTGTATACTCATGCTGCAGTTGTTACATTGTATTTACACTAATATTTGGCTGTATAAATCACTTTTTAAATTTGTATGAATGTGCTGCATTTAAATTTGTATGAATGTGCTGCATTTAAATTTGTATGAATGTGCTGCATTTATTACATTGTATTCACTTGAATATTTGACTGTACAAGTGGCTGTGTTATTTTGCTCTTCCACTGTTGTTATATTGTATCACTTTATTTTTGGTGTAATAATTAGTTAATTATATTGCATTAATTAAATTACTCAATGTCGAGAATATTGCCTAAATTATGTTCCTTAATGGCAGAAAAAATTGCCTTAATTACAGTTCTTAATGAAAGGAAAAATTCCCTTTGATTATTTAATTACATTTAGGAAATTTTTTTTTAAGGAAATTATTTACTTAATTATTTCCCTTTTTTAAGGAAATTTTTTTAAGGAAAACTATTTCCTTAAAATTACATTTCCTTATTTTAAGGAAATCTTTACCAGTGCTAATTTTGAGGGATTATTTCCTTTTATTTTCCCTTGAAAATAAGGAAATTTATTTTTGAGTGTACATTAGAAAATTAAAAAATCATGAAAAGAATTATTTAGAACTATGATAACTTTAGACTGGTCATTTGTTTTTATAATTTTTTTTTAAAGGTACTTATTTTCATGTCTGCATTTAAAAGTTAATTCAGATTTTTTATTTTAGCAAATTTTTTTGATTTAAATGAGTAATAATTTTAAATTTTTCTTGTAAACATAGTATATTCTTAAATATTATTATAGGTATGCATAGAAAATCCACACTGAAATTACAGACAACACTATTTATCTAATTAAACATAGCAGAAAAACTTTACTCTATTTTAATAACAAAGGGTGGAAGAGAATGTTACAATGGGAAATGTTACAATGGGAAGTTACACCCTTATATATTTTAAATTCCCAGGCTAAAATAATTCATTTTAATCAATTAAGCTTGTATTACAATGATGGTTTAATAATAATGCAAAAAAAAAAAAAAAAAAAAAAAAATCAGAGCCTCAACTTGACAAAATCAGAAAAAAATATAAAAATTTTCAAAAACATTGGCTTTTAAATTGAAATAAACATTAAAAATTGTGAATTTTCTTGATGTCACAATTAACTCATTGGAAAATTCTTATAGGCCTTATAAAAACCTAATGATGAATTATTGTATATTAATATAAATTCAAATCATCCTCCTCAAATCTTGAAACAAATTCCTATAACAGTTAGCAATAGACTACATCAAAACTCTTCTCATGAAAATATTTTAACTCTTTCAAACACATGTATGAAGATGCTCTTAAAAAAAGTAGATTTAAAAATTTAGAGCTAAAATTTGAAACAAAAATTGCAAAAAAGCAAAATAAAAATAGAAATATAGTTTGGTTCAACCAACCATACAGCAAAAATGTTTCAACAAATACTGGAAAAGCTTTTTTAAAATTAGTAAACAAACATTTCCCTTCTTCTAATAAATTGCATAAAATTTTTAACAGAAACAGTATTAAAATAAGTTATAGCTGTACAAAAAATATTGAAAGAAATATAAAAGGTCATAATTTTGCATTGAATAATAAAAATTAATTTCTCAATAAAAAAATACTGAAAATTGTAATTGTAAACAAAAAATTGACTGCCCTATGAATGGCAAATGCTTATCAAAAAATATTATTTACAAATGTATTGTTTCCTCTGAAAACCATCCTGATAAACAATATATTGACTTAATTGAGGGCGAATGGAAAAAACATTATGCCAACAATAAAAAATCTTTTAAAAATAAAAAATACTTAAAAGAGACTATGCTGTCAAAATATATTTGGCAAAGAAAAAAATATTAATCTTAAATTAAACTGGTCTATTCTAAAAACTGCGCCTGCCTATAATAATATTTCCCAAATATATATATATATATATATATATATATATATATATATATATATATATATATATATATATATATATATATATATATATATATATATATATATATTTATATATATATATATATATATTAGAACTAGAATGCAGTGTTTTACTCCTCGCGAAATAAATGACTTTCATGCATCGGTTAGCTCCAGAATCCATTTCTTCACAAACAGAGTTTGCCAAATTTGGAACAAACTTCCGGAAAAAGTTGTAGATTCCGAGAATTTGAATAGTTTTAAATAAGTTTAGACGAATGGCTTAAGAAAAATAAGAAAATATTAATTTAAAAGAAAAAGGAAAAAAAAAAAAGTACTGGGCTGCTATAGCTGAACATTACAACGTCTCAGCTTGTGGATAAGATCCACGCAGTTTACCACTAACTATATACATTTTTTTTTTTTGTTATTCACCTTTTGTTATTGCTCAAAGCCGAGAAGGCCACTACAGACAAGGAGGCTACTTAATAGTGGTTATAACCCTCTCTCAACTCTATAACTCCAAAACACGAACCTTAACGAACAAGGCCGCTGCGCGGAGAAACAAGTTAAGCACGGTACCACCAAGGACGTGGTGGGGATCGAACTCGGAACCTCTCGCTATATATATAAGTTTATACTTATGTGTGTGTATACACACACACACATATATATAAACATAGTATATTATTAAATATTATTATAGGTATGCATAAAAAATCCACACTGAAATTATATGTGTGTGTATATATATATATATATATATATATATATATACTTATGTGTGTGTATACACACACACACACAGATATATATATATATATATATATATATATATATATATATATATATATATATATATATATATAATAAAAATAATAAAACTTACATGATGTTTAGATCGCGGGTCTTCTCTAGCTTTTTTAAAAACTGCTCGACTTTCACTTATTCCTTCAGCACGTCTACTAAATTTCATATTTTGACAATACACCTATAAATGTTAAAACAAAAAGTTCTTACAACAAAATGTTCTGACAACAGAGTCTGACAACAGGTGGTTTTTACTTTTAAAACCAGAGTTTAAAAAAAAAAAAAAAAAAGACAAAAAAAACTTTCTTACTAATGTTGGATCAATATCTTCAGAAAGAAGTTTGGCATATATAGCTTTAACTTTCGAAAATCGCTTCCTACTCTAAACAGTTGTCATTATTTAAATTAAAATAAAATATTTTGCAACATTTTTATGTTATTTATCTCCAAAGGCTGAGATAAATATTATAAAAATGATATAGTTGCATAAAAAGCAAGCGCTCAATCACTACACCACTACCATATTATTTTATAAACATATTTAAGAAATTTGTTAACCTCTTCAAAATCAGCATATGCAAAATGAAGCAACAGATTGTTTTTTAAAAATGTAGAAGTTGCTTTTTCATACAAGGCAACAGCTTCTTCAGATAACTTTTGACCACCTTGCATATCCTATAAAACAAAATCAAGCAAAGAGTTCCAAAAAAAGTTATACATTTTCCTTAATTATAATACCAAATTATAAATACCAAATAAACTCTTTTATATCTATCCTACTTAATATTAATTTAATTTTACATTTCATTTAATTTTAGAAAATTTATTTCTCAACAAACAAATAAATATTAAAGATAATATTCCAAAAAAATATATGAGAGATCATGATGCAAACAAATATTTAACTTAAATGACCATCTATAATTTTAATTACATATGTAATCAACTGTGTTTTTAGACATTTTTTACCTTTAACTCATTCATTACATTAGTTTCTATAGATACATAGATTGCATTTGTTTCTATAGATACTTACATTATATTAGTTTCTATAGATACATATATTACATTTTCTATAGATACATACATTACATTAGTTTCTATAGATTCAAATCAGTCATGTCAATAACCAAATCATGTAGCATCAAATTTTGAGTCAAATAATCTTTACCATAAAGCAACAGTTTTTTACCTTGTAAAATTGGAAATTGCAAAGTTAGTTGTTGCATAACAACAGTTGTTATAGCAAATATATGTTATTCTGACCATTAAGTAATAAATAGAAAAAATTATTTAATTTTCATATCATTTATAGGTTTTGTGATAATTTTGTGATAAACTCTTTACAAATAAATATGTTAAGAGTCTTTAACTTTATTTAAATTAATTAAATAATTTAAATAAAGTTTTTTCCCTTAAGAATTCTCTTAACTTAATTACTACTAATTAAAAATTCTTAGTTTTTTTGTTTACTTCATCAATTGTATAAAATTTGTATTGTCACTTTTATGATCACAGGTGGTTTGACCATCATCAGGCAGTTTGACCATCACCAGGTGGTTTGGTGTTTCTTTTTAAACAAGTTTATTGTGTAATGGTGATCTGTACTTCAATAACAGATGTGTAACTTTAAAAATATATTTGACATTTATTTTAATTGTGGTTTTTTATGACGGAATATACTGCTATGTAATTATAATTGTGAAATAAAATGTCAAATGTGAAATGACATAATCAATTCCCATTATTGTTCTTTAATATACTTATTATAATTATTTAATTTATCAACAAATATCTGCTGTTGCTATCAATATCTAGTGTTGTTAGTACTGAACACAGAACTCTGATAATTATGAGTAATGCACTAAATGATTGAGGTCAATACCTCTGCTTTATATATTTCTACAGATACATTTCTAAGTCACTTTTCTAGAAAATGAAAAAAAAATTCAAAAAATAGCTATTCTATATATATACCAACTTCTCTTATATAATAAACAAAAAGCTTACTCCTCGTTCAATCAGTTCTCTTCCAGTATTTTCCAGATAAGAAGCAGCTTCATACCAAAGATCAGGATGAAAAGAATAACATAACAAGCATTGTTCAAAAGCAAACATCACTGTACAAAATCAAACAAAAAAAATTATTTTAAAAATTAATTCTTTAAATGTTAATTTTTAAATTAAAATTTTGAAAATTAAAAAATTTAATATTTGTCATTGATGAAACATAACTTATTAGTTATAGTTCATTGTCCTAACAATGCCCAACAGTTCATCTTAACCAAGACAACTTATACAGAAGAAAATAAAATTGATAAGAAAATGAGATAAGAACCCCAATTTAAATGTAAGGATAGGAAAAGCACTTGAGTTTTGGATTGTAATCATTTTTATCTCAATATAAATACTTAAAATTAGTCCTGTTCTATAAAACAGGTTAACACCTGTTTTATAGACAAGACTGAGTTTTACTTCTAGAAAGACTTCTTGAAGTAAAATATCTTCAACTCCTTCATAATTTTTTTTATTTTTTTTTATTTTATTTATCTTCGCTTTCAACAAGGCTGCAAGCAACCACTAATTAGTGTTGCAAGTTACTGGAAGAGAAAAGATGAAGATTGTAGAGCAAGATAACGATTGACAGACGACTTAAAAGATTGCAAATTATATGAATCAGGAAAGCAAGATGAAGGAAGCGAATTCCAAAGAACTGATGTTCGAGGAAAAAAACTAGACAAATAAGAGTTTTTGGAGCACTTAGGAACGGTAACAGAAAAAGGATGAGACTTAATTGAATGACGAGTAACACGAGAATGAATTTTAGTAGATGGCACAAGAGACGCTAGCTCTTTCGAGCAGTGCCCATTATAGTATTTGTAGAAAAGAGAAAGAGAAGCAACATTACGACAATGTGACAGAGGTTGAAGGTTGGCTGCAAGAGCAGGTCCAACTATAGAGATAGAGAATAGAATCCAGAGTAAAAAAGTGACGAGCTCGATAAAGAGAAGCAACTTTAGCAGATGCTAATTTTGCAACGGATTTGATATAAGGTTTCCAAGAAAGATCAGAAGTAAGAGTTAATCCTAGAAGATGAAGGGTAGGAGACTCATCGAGTACATTACCATTCATAAATATAGGAAGGTCTAAACTATTACGATAACGATTGGCCGAAAAAAATTGAGTTTTATCTGAATTAAAGTTCACCAGCCACTGTGAGCCCCAGATACACCGTAAGAAGAAAGCTTATGGAGAAGACCAGCATGCCAAACTTTATCAAACGCTTTAGAAATGTCAAGAGCAATGGCTTTAACCTCTCCACCTTTATCTAATGCGCGATAAAACCTATCGGTTATTACTGATAGCAAATTAGCCGTAGAACGAGAAGATCGAAATCCATATTGATGATCAGAAAGTAGGTTATGAGATTCGAGATGAGAGATTAAGTGTTTGTTAATTAAAGATTCAAAAACCTTGCTTATGATAGGAAGAAGACTAATGGGACGGTAGTTAGACAAATCAGATCGCTCTCCAGAATTTTTAAAAATAGGGATAACAGATGCTGCTTTCCAGCAGGCTGAAAAACACGACTCTGATAAGCATTTGTTAAATAGTTTTGATAGACGACAGCTCCGGAGAACACTTCTGCAAGACTATAACAGGTATGTTGTCCAGGCCGCAAGCTGTAGAAGAGTCTAAGCGGGAAATCACTTTAGATACAGAAGCTGGAGTGATACGAATGTCGAGCAATGGATCAACCTGTTTGACGGCTATATCAGGTAGAACGCAACTAGTGGCATCAAGAGATGATATTGATGAAAAGTTCTTGGCAAACAATTCAGCTTTATCTTCAGGTGAGGTGACAAAGTCTGAACCATACAAAAGAGATGTCTTAATGTTAAAACATCATTATTCAACTTGCTTTTTCTTGAAGTAGCCTCACCAAAAAGTATTTATTTCTCAAAGTTATAAAGTAATAATACTTTTGAAAAGTGTGTGTTTTTGTATGTGAGAAATGTATACTATATTTAAAACTAAAGTTAAAAAAATATATTAGCACCATGTTAACCTAAGTTTGCAGTATATACAAACACTAACACATATATGTATTTACTTCTGCAAATTTTTGTATTCAGGGTACGAAGGTATTCGGTATACTTGTAAAAAAAATGATATATATAAAAAATAAATGCAAAAATGTACAAACCTCTCCTCACAACAAGGCTTCTGTCATCTGCTTTAAGTGGGTTTGATTTTTCCCATGCAATGTATTTTCTCCACAGTTCTTTCTGGGCAACTTCAAAAGGAGTATTTGTTGGAGGTATTGCAGGTATAGATCTATTAAAACCATGGGTCACCAACTCTATATCCTAAATAAAAACACTTTTATAAAACACATGTTAACTTGTTAGAAGTTCGAAGTTTTAAGATTATTAGATATTATTCATAAAAACGTCTACATTTAATATACTATTATATCTTTCATAAAACATTAAATGAATTCTTTAACTGTGATATTTTTTACAATCTCACTGATTCTAACTATTTAAATAGATTATTCACAGTCAAGCGATTAAACTGCTGCTCAGGACAGCCATTCCACCTAACACTCAGATTTTCTTAAAATTTTAAACAGTAGAACTTTTAAAACATTTTTCATTATTTTATCAAATAAATAATAAAAAATTCAAAATTTAAACTCCCAACACTAAACAGTTCAAAAATTGATGTTTTGAAGTTCAGCCTAAAATGTTTTACTTTTTATGAATAATTTAAATTCTAGTGGAAATGTATAGCTAAAAATTGCTACCTGATCGTTTTTAAAGAATACATAACAATACATTAGAAGTATAATGTATTTATTATACAATATTCAACATAACATAACTTTATAATAAATAGTTGAATTTTTTTTCTAAAAACAACCTTTAGTCACTGGTCGCATTTTAAAATGTAGAAATCTGTTATGTTAAAAAATGAAAAAATAAAGGGCAAAATATTTTGAAAAAAAGTATAAGACCTGCTTGAAAAGAAAAAAAACAACAGAAAAAACAAAACGAAAAGGATTGGAATAATCAAATATTTAAAGTAAAGCCTTTTAGAATTTTTAATAATAAAAAGTAAACTTTAAGAAAATTAAGGAACTTTTAACAATGAGTTAATTGCTGTTCAATTAAAGCCTCATCGTTTGTTTAGATGTGGTACTGACATCTAAATGATGTTGACAGTGTTTTAACAAAAGAAACAGCAAATAGCAAGAAATTTTTTTTAGTAATTATCATCCCAATTTGGCCAGTAGTATAATCGATATTGAATAATGTAAATACATAAGCATTACATTAAAATCATTTTTGACTTTCTAATCAAAGGAGGTGTCCTTTGATGAAAGCCTCTAAAAAAAAAAGTTATAAAATATACTTGCTGATTCGAAATTTTCATTTAATTTTATATTATTTCAATCAAGTTATGCTATAAAGCATTTTTGTCACACGACAACTTTGCTTTATGAATTTTGATTTTGAAAACTGAAAACACTTTTGATAGACCAAGACTTTAAGATCAAGGTCAATATTCAAAGTTGCTGCTTTTTATAGAGAACTTTAAGTTTTTTCTTCATTCATTCAACAAAGAAGTCTAAATTTTTAGCTTTGGTCTGAATCTTCTTTGAACCTCTATGTTATTTGGTGCAATATCAGATTCTGAGATATTCAGAACAGTTGCAATTTTGATAACAATTATTTCTTGAACTTGTTTATCTTTCTCTTTTCAAGTAAAGGCTTATCAAATGTTCTTCTAAAATGAACTTTTAGCAGGAATACTTCAGGTTCACACTATGTACGATTGAGCAATGATCATGTTGATTCTATCATAATTATTTTCTCCATATCATCTTCAATATATGTCATATCTTGTTTTCTTTTGATTCTTTACTTGATATCATTTTGTCTGCATCATAGACAAAGCTTTCCTCCTGTGAATTTGCATTTATTGCATAGAAACATTAAGTAGACAATTATGCAAGAAAAGTATTTAAAATCAAAAAAAATGAATACATATATTAATGAATGGTAACCCTCTCATTAAGTCTTCTTTTTTATGTCCTTTATTCTTCTTTATCTTCTATAAATGGATTATAATTCACTTCTAACCTATACTGACCTCTACTACACACTATACTAACCTCTCATGCAAACCATATATACAATTGATTGTTAAAATAGCATCCGCTACGGTTGCTGCTTCTTTTCATCATGCATGCCATTTCTTTACTCCTGATTCCATTCTCTACCTCTACAAATCTCTTGTTTTTTCATTTATGGAATACTGTTGTCATATTTGGGCTGGTTCTACGAATAATGCTCTTTCTCTTCTGAACAAGGTCCAAAAACGCATAAATGTTGTTGGATCTGCTCTATCTACAAAGCTTGAGCCTCTCTCCCATTGTCATAAAGTTGTATCTCTTTTTCTTTTCTGCAAATACCGTCATGGTTGCTGCTCAAAGGAGCTAATATCTCTAGTTCCATTAACTAAAACTCATTCTTGCTTGACTCATTCTTTTACTGTATCTGTCCTTGCATGCTCTAAAAACTTATGTTTGTCTATTTTTTCCCTCACACTTTAACCCTTTGGAACTGTCTCCCTACTTCATGTTTTCTGACTCAAATAACCTACAACTTTTCAAGTCTGTCAATTGTTTCCTTGAGTTTCAACTCCCAACTTAATAGTGTAACAACTTAATAGTAACTCCAAACTTAATGGTTGCTTGCAGCCTTGTTGGGAGTGAATCAGAATAAAAAAAATAATGCTTTAAATCATGAAATTATCTACTAAAATTATACTATAATTGAGTTTATCAGAACGTCTTACAGTATAATTTGATAAATATTTGTTAAACACTATGATTCATTGACTAATAGTAGCATACAAATACAAGTGTGCAGACTGCAAATACAAGTGTGCAGACTTAGCATAAGGTAAATGTTTGGATGTGTGGAAATAAGGAAATGTGTGGAAATAAGGAAACATTTCTTTAAAGCTGTTCAAATAAGCTTGCCAATCTTCCATGCGCTCAGCTTTTATAAATTCCTTTGCCATATGTATATTTGCCAGCTTTTGTAAATTCCTTATATTATATTAAAATATTGAACCCATAGTTTTGCTGTGGGTCCTCAATTTTTAAATTATTTTAGTTTTTTATTAAACTGATAAAATGCATAATACTTATACTTATACGCTATTTCTAAATATTTTAATTTAGATTTTGTTTATTTTTAAGAATTACTCAAAAAAAAAATTAATGACTTTGGAGTATTGCTGTTAATATCTTCAAACATTCAACTAGGGATGGGATAATTGGTATTATCAGACACTACTGATTGGATTTTTTTTTTTTTTCTCATACCAAGCTTGGTTAAGAATATCCTGATAATTGCCAAGAAAAAAAAAAAAAAAAAACAGATGAAAGTTAATCTGCCTGGTTTTTCAACTTCAATTGTATGTTAATTGCTCTGTTATCTAAACCTGGATTTTTGAACAATATTTTTTTTTTTAATAAAAACTGAAAATAGTCACTATTTGAAATGTATGAAAATATTTCTTTGATTCCATCATTTGTAGATTTATCCTGAGAACAAACAACTTTACCTCTTTATCCTGAGAACAAACAACTCAGCCTCAACTTTAGTGGTTGGTCTAAAGAAGGAATTAGAACAACAATTATGGTATCTTGCTTCAAAAGCAACTAAATCATACTCAATCTCAATGGGTGTTGTAACATTTTCTGCTACATCATTAGACCAACTCCGAGAAACCTTCAAAATTAATTTTTTGAATTCAACTTTGAGTAGCAACTTTATAAAATTTCAAAACAAACAATATTTTTTCAAAAAAATTCACTGCAAAATAAACAAAATTTTTCAAACAAATATCTGATTTACCTAAGTGAGCTCTGGTTCGAGGCGAATTAATTTTGGATGAACTGGCTTTTAAATGCACCAATAGTACTTGGCCAAGCATTTTATGGATCTTATGAATTGTTGCAGACTTCTGACTGTTTAGGTATTCAAGGTGTTCAAGGAAAATTTCTGTCAACACTAGAATCAACTCAAGTCTTCATTCTAGGAGCAGAAACAACTGTTTTACTTGCTGTTAAAAGTTTACTACAAGTAAAACTTAGTTGCAACATTTTAAAATAAGTATTAAGCAATACTAATTGTAATAAGTAGGGCTGTTAATGAGTTTGTTCAAGACCATACCCGCAGGTTTGAACAAGGTCTGAGTTTTGTTATTATAGACCTAAAACCTGCCAGACCCAAACCTTTTAAACCTGTTAATCTAACTAGTTAGGTATGTATACCAGACCTTTTTGGTTTATGGGTCTGGCGGGTTTTGGTTTTATAATAACCAAACCCAGACCCAGTTCAAACTTGTTGGTTCTGGGTCTAGATCATCTTATTACTAATAAGAAACACTGTTCAATAACCACATGTATTCACTGCAAAGGAACCTTTGACACACTGAATGCACGTTATTTAGTACACTGTGATGAAATACTTTTAGTGTTGATAACCTAGTTTAAAAAAAAACAACTTAATTTAATAAATTATGCAGAAGAATATTTGTTAATTATTTTAACTAACAGGGCTCTTAATAATGCACTTTGAAAAAAAATTATACAAAAATATATAATTAATATATAAAAATAATATAAAAATATTTGAAAAGATTAAATTAATACTCTTAAGTTCCTTTTTATCACATTATAAAAACTTAATTTTAACTAAATAAAGTTTTTATAAGAACAGATAATAAGTAAAAACCCCTATGAGAACAGATAAGTAATAAGTAAAACCCTCTAAAACTTTGCAACATTTTATTATTCTTATGCAAGCTCAGAAAAAAGGCACAGGACCTTTTTTTTACAGTAGATAGCAAAATGTATTAGGAAGAAAATAAAAGTTTGTAACCTTTGCCCTTAAATAACTTTTTTTGCAGATGTGGGATCACTTGGGAATTTTAATACTTTGTTTGTACTATTATCCTTAATGTCCCTATTTAATGCCCTCAACTTCTGTACAAATTTTTAGCTTAATGCAAATTATTGTAAACCTACCACCATTTTTTTGACTATTTTGACCGGACTAAATCAGTCCATTTAATAATCGATCCATTTAATAATCGAGTGTCTATACCAACCCTTAAAGATATTTTTTATTCAGAAAGCTTTTAAAACCAGTGTTCTTTTATTATATAGAACAAGTTAAGGTAACAGCAAACATTTTTCAAAAATGTTTTTTTTTTAACTACTTTTATAGATAACACAGGTTAAAATCTTAAGAAAATCTGCAGGATGACTAGAAATGTTTTTATCCTACTTTTACATAGAATTATTTACACCATTACAAGCATCATTATCTCAAACATTATCATTATAAACATCTAGAATATCATTAATTCTCAAATCAGTTTAATGTTGTATAACCGAGGTTTTACAACATTAACTATTTGATGCTTGTTTTTTACTCAAACTTGGTTCAATAATAGGTTTTCATTTTCTTATCATTTAGAGAAAAAAAAATTTTCTTTATAATATAACACACTTGAATACAATAATAACATTGATAATACACATCATAAAAGCAAGAATACCTTAACAGCTCTTCTAGCATTTTGATATTCCCTAGTTTTTTCATGAATAAGTTTTTCAGCAAGCATTTTGTTAACAGACATTTCAAAATGACTATACTCTTTCCATAATGACTCAATGTTATGTATTGGAGTATGAACAGCTCTCTAAAAAATTGACTCAATGTTATGTATTGGAGTAAACAACTTTCCAAAAATTTATAAAATAAAAAAATTATCAAAAAAATATATATATATATATATTCAAACAAATTTTGCTAATTTAAAAACGGTGGTTAGCCGAAACATTAGGATCATATGTTTTAAAATTTATTTTAAATAGATGGCTTCACATTTCAAATAGATAGTTTCATATATTTTTTTGTGTTAGATTCCTTCTTTGTAAAGATTATAAAGAATTTATGAATGCAAATTCTAGGTGTCAGAAATTACAACTCTGGATGTCAGAAATTGTTATAATCAACACATAATCTAAAAAAATATAAGGTTTTCTTTTTTTGTTTAATTAAATTGTATTTATTTGATTTATTAAATTTTATTTATTTGTAAAGTAACTTTATAAAATTTTGTTAAAGTTAAATTTCAATTAAACAGCCATTACAAGCCTTAATCTGTTGCCGAGAATCACATTTAAGAACCAAAAAAATCTATAAAAGCCTAGATACTATGGTACACCTAGACACTATGATGCTGCTATTAAAATAACAGGTTTAAAAAAATATTAATAACCTAAGGGATTGCCCATAAATTATGTCACACATCGCTTGATAGTTTTAGACCCCCATCCTTTAGTAACAAACCATAACTAACTTACCCTCCCCCCTTCCTCCTTAATAAATTATTATGCAACAAGTTCATCAGGTGAGGGTACTTTTAAACAGGTTTATGATCATAAAGAAATCTCAAATTAACTTTTTGTTTTAACTTTTACATGCAAACTGTAAATGTTAAATAAAATAATCACTGTATTAATAAAAGAATTAAATATTATTAATAATATTAAAATTATTTTTTTATATTAAAATTTTCACATTAAAATTTTTTATATTAAAATAAATAAATATTATTAAAATTAAGTATTAACAAAAAAAATTAATAAAAAAACAACAGTTTAATAAGAACCTTATATTTTATAAGCGGGTTATTATAGAAAGTTATAAGTTATAACAAGTAAGTCTATCCAACACCTAACTAAATCTACAAAAAAAAAAGAATATTGTTCCACAATTAATATAATTAGAACTTTTTATCATTATCATTAAGTTAGTGCAATCTTGTGTTAGAGAAAAATATTTCAGTTCCCATTGTGGAGATTAATATTTTTATTCTCATATTGTTTTATTTCAATGTTTTATATGTATTCACTATTACTATTGTTTAATAATAGTTATACTATTTTTTACTGAATAATTTAACAATCATATTATCATTAACTATTTCTTCATCAACAATATAGCTGTAGACTTAGGCTATGGCTTTGTTGACTGATATAACTATAGACAGAGGGGAATTACATTCATCAACTGAATTCTGTTCCTGCATACTCTAAAATCTTTTATTTTTCTAGTTTTATTTCTCACAGACTAACCGCTTGGAATTCTCATCCATCTTTATGTTTTCCTGACTCATACAACCTACAAATTTTCAAATTCTGTCAATTGTTTTCAAGCTCTCTAACTCGATTCTTTGTTTTCTAGTCCCAACTTAATAGCAGTTGCTTGTAGCCTTGTTGGGATTAAATAAGAATTAAAAACAAAACAAAAAACAAATCATTACAAAGTCATTACCCCTTATTGCATGACATAATTTGTGGGCAGCCCTTAAGTATATAGTTATAATAACAAAGAAATATTCAAAATGTTTACATATTACTTTTTTTTTTACAATCAAAATAATGTAAATACAATTTTAAAATTGTACCATTATTCTTTTTAATTTGAAAACTGATTCTTACTATTTATAAAAAAAAACGCAGACACAATATTTACAAAAAAAAAAAAAAAAATGTTTCTAAAGAGATGGTACCAACTATAGTTAAAAAATAGAAGAAAAATTTTACACTATAAACTTTTCTAATTTGAGATATCTTTTGATTTTCCGCATACGAACCTTGAGCTTCTCTAAATTAAAAAAAAAAGTCAATTAAAAACAACTAATTAAATATTATTTTTGCTTTACATTTTTTAAACAGTAAAAAAAAAAGAAGGTAAATTGTAAACACGGGTATAGAGTCATAAAAAAAGTAACAACTCCAGTTGTTACTTTTTACAGTTACGCAATAAGAAAAAAAAATTTTTTTTGACAAATTTTCGAAACGTTCTTTGAGGTTTAGTATAAACATAAGGTTAATTGAATGTTTTGTACATGCACGTGCAATACCGAGAAGTTTTACTATTGGAGTCGGAGTCACGATTTTGTTTAGCAACTCCGACTCCACAGCCCTGATTGTAAACAAAATCATTTTTAAATGAGTGTATATTTATATAAGGTAGAGGTGTAGTGGTAGAGCACTTGCCTCATATGCAAGAACTTTTGAGTTCGATTCCTACCACACCCCTGATAGTACCGCACTCAACTTGTTACTGTGCGCAGCGACCTTGTTTATCAAGGTTTATGTTTCGAAGTTTTGAGTTAAGAGAAGGTTGTAACCACAACTAAAGTAGCCTCTTTGAATGTAGTGGCCTTCATGGCCTTGGGGAGATGAATTGAAATTAAAAAAAAAAAGGTAACACAGGGTTACTTTGACATATGGGTAACATTGACATGTGTTGAATTAAAAATTTTTACCTGTTAATTATTCTTTAAATTATTTTAACAGAAAATATATTTGTTCATTTAACATCTGTAGCCAGATGTTAAATGAACAAATATCTAAATAAATAAAAAAACAAATATCTGCCTAAATATAATGTCAACAGATCTAAAAACCAACACTTGCAAAGGGTTAAAATCCAAATCTAATAATGTTAAGAATACAAATATAATACTGGTAAGAACAAAACATCAGAACCTGAAAATGTAATAAAAAAACTAAACAAAACACCAAAATAACCAGCAAAAAACACGTCACAAAAAATCCAGCAAAAAACTACAATGCTGTGAGATTTCATGGGAGTCAGATATTGAGTCATTGATGTGTAGAGCTTAATAGTTTGACAATACTAAGAAAAAAAGTTTTTAATCATAAATTAACATACTTTTTTATATTTTTAAATAAAACACTATCAGAACTGAGGCTAATTCATATCTTTCAAATAATAACATTTCATTACATTTCAATTAGATTGTTAATTTTTAAGACACAAATGTAGGTTGGTGCTAGTATATATTTAAAATGTTTGATCTGTTTTGCTAAAAGATATACATTTTTTAATATATGTTACTTGAAAAGCTAAAATACTCGCTAGAAAAGTAATTAAATGCAGTTTTTATTTTTGCAATAAGTTGCATTTTTTATTTATTACTAACAACTTTTGAAAAAAATATTTAATATTGAAAAAAATTAGATTTCCTAATATATGTAATTTCCTAATTTACGTAATAGAGTTAATTTTTCAATTGAACTCGTTTTGATGAAATTTAATATATTGCTGTAGTTTAAAAACAAAGATTTTTTTAAAATACAAACCTGCAAGCAATTAATTTTATAAATAAAAAAATTTATTAAAAAATTTATTTTTTAAAACAAAAATCTATTAGCTTATTTTTTAGAAAAAAAGGTTAGTTTTAACAATCAAATTTGACGACTAAAAACTTGATGAAAAGTTTTGACAAACTGAAAGAAAAGATTATATATTATATATATATATATATATATATATATATATATATATATATATATATATATATATATATATATATATATATGATTTAAACAATATATATTATGACTTAAACAATACTTTTGATGTGTCCAATGTTTGAATAGTTTTGTATTATTAGTGTGATGCACTTATGTGCACTAAAAAATTAAATATACTTAATTTACCAAGATTAATAGTTGTAAATCTTGGAAGTTGTAAATAACAACCAGATAATGTTTTCAACAAAGCCATGATGGGACAAACCAGATAATGTTTTCAACTAAATTACTCACCCTGCTTTTAAAAAGTTGATATATTCACACCAAATCTGAAAAAAATAAAAAGATTACCAATATTTTAATAAAAGAAAAAAAATACCAATATATTACCAATATTTAAAAATTAAAAAAAAAATTAATTTTAAATTTTAAGTAATCTAAATCTGTTATTATTATATTTATTAGTTATATATATATATATATATATATATATATATATATATATATATATATATATATATATATATATATATATATATATAGACACACACACACAAATATATATATATATATATATATAATAATAATAATAATAATAATGATTACAAAAATTACATCAAATACTGTGATAATAAACAATTATTTACTAATGACATTTAACAACAAAATAATCTACCACCAACAAAAATAGAACAAACATTTAACAACAGATTAAGAAATAATAATCTATAACTAATGACTATTAGTATAGTTAATAAATTTTAAATTCTTGTGATTTACAAAAATTCAGTTTTTATTTCTATAATATTATAATTTAAAAGTTATAAATAATAAGTTATCAATTCTATAAATGATGAAATTGATGCGGTAGTGGTGTAGTGGTAAGAGCGCTCGCTTTGTAAGCGAGAGGTTCGGAGTTCGACTCCTCCATGTCCCTGGAAGTTCCGCGCTCAACTTAATTTCTCTGCGCAGCTGCCTTGCTTTTCAAGGTTCGTATTTCGGAGTTTAAGAGTTGAGAGAGGGTTGTACCACGATTTACAACAAAAAAAATAAATTGATTAAAAAAAAAAAAATGAGTAGCCTCCTCGACTGTAGTGGCCCCCTCGGGCCTTGGGGAGGTGAATAATTTAAAAAAAATAATAAAATAATAAAAAAATTTACCTAATTTACATATTCATTGATATCTATTAATAGATAATAATAATAATAATAACTAATACAAACAATAAGAATAAGTTAAATATGAAAACAAATTGAATAATTCAGATAATTTTTTTTTTTTTTCTTTTTAAAAACAACTTTTCTCAGAACCCTATTTTTTGTGTTTATTTTGTAACTTTTTATTATGGCCATTGATTGTTGTAGAGACAGAAACTTTTATTATCGCCTTATGCTATTGCAGGGACAGAGAGTCACTATAAGGTTTTAACACCTCAAATTTATTTTTGTTGAATTTATTGAAGTCATCAGCAGCATAACTCTTTAACAATAATAATAAAAAATATTATTTATGTTCTTCAACAAAAATTTAATATTATTTTAGATAAGTAAGAATTTAAAGTTATTACATAACATGACAAACATTTGATAAATGCTCCTCGCAACTGTTTTTGGTGCACTCAGAGCTTCTTGTAAAGACTAATCAACTTGATACTGGTGGCATGACTTCCTGGTTATCTTGGGGATGGAAGTTATAGTTGAACAGACATCAAAGCAATGGCACATTTTGGACCTCACTAAAAAGCTCCTCTTGAATGCTCAATAATGTAATATTGCATTAGTTCTTTATAACATTTCTGTCGAGATGTCAGAGTAGACAACATGATAACAACGGTGTTAATTTTATAATACACAGTGATAGAATAAAACTGATTTGAAGGAAAAAGTAAATAGGGAGGCCTGGAGCTGGATTGTTATGGTTTAGAGTTCCAATCTGAGTGAGTTTTTGCAATTGAAGTTAATTAGTGGAACAGATGTAAAGAATTGGAGCATGTTAGAGGAACAGATGTGAAGAATTGATCAAAATTGTTGTTATATATCTACTCTACTATGAAGTGATTCTGTTAGCTGCAATACCACTTGTTGTTTTTATCCTACTTATTGTACCCAAGCAATCTTACCCAAATATATCTCACAATTATAAATATAGAATACAACTATAAATATATGAAGCTTAAAACAAGTTTAAGCTCACACCTTGATGCCATGTCTGATTTTTTTGCCATATAAACTTGAAAAAATAGCCACCCACTTGATGGCACTTTTTGTACATCAATACATCTTATGTCAGAGACAATTTTTTTTTTTTAAAATTCTTTATTTTACATTTGTTTATCTTTATACAATATATATAAAAGAAAAAAATACAAATGAGATATCAATAAAAACTAAAAAATGAGGAAACTTAAAGAGTCTTGCCACAGAGAACCGATTTGAAGCTAAACTTTTTAAATATTTTGTTAATAATCTAATGATTGAGTTTTTCTTAGTAAGTTATAAGAAGTAAGTTAGTAAGTTGATTCCAGTGAATAAATTATTAGAGACCACATTTGACTGTTTTAAAATGTCTCTAAAAGCTGATAGTTTATAGTGCAGGTATCTTTCAGTGAAGATATGAAGTACCTGCATAGCTTATAGCTTAGAGCTTCATACACAATCTATGATTGAATAAAAATTTCTATTAATTTAAAAAATGAATAAAAGACCTAAAAATATATATAACAAAGGACCATTATAACCATCAAATTGTTTATAACATTATTTTTCAAATGATTCTGGTCTTCAAAGTAAATTTCTATCACTTGAACCAGTTGCAAAATTCACCAGACTTTCAATTAACTTTTCTTTTTTTTTGTAAGTTTAATTTAAAATCGATTGATTTATCTTCAGACCCATTGTTGATGGCTATTATCTTTTGATTCACGAAAACTTTAAAAGTGCAGGTGTCTTTCAGTACATATTTCCTTACTGTCAATTCTCATAAACTTTGTAGTAATTAGTCTCACTGTGACAGAAATTTTAAGTTTGTCACTCAATAGGTCTTTGAGAAACACATTTTGCTTTTTCAAAACACCCTGTACCCAGGTCCATGATATTTTTCTAATTCTATACTAAACATATGAAATAAATAATTTTTTATGTTATTAATTTTTTAAGTTTTTTAAATTTTATTATTTATTATTATTATTTTATTATTTAATTTTTTTTAACTTAACTACTAGCAAATATTTCTTTGTGTTTTTTTATAATTATTAGTTACCTAATTTTTTCAACTATTTAGTTTTTAGTCTTAAAAATTAATTATATAGCTATTTAAACTTACCGGATACGAAGAATAATCAAGACCAATTTTTTCGATGGCAAACTCATAAGCTTGGATCATTTTTTCTCTATACAAAAGACAAATTTGAACTAGTAAAGAAAGAATTTTGCAAAATGTCTTGATATTCAACATAAATATTGCTTTTGTGGAATACCTAAAACTTGTAAGAGTTTGCTTTGTTTCTTTTACATAAGAAAGGTATGTTTTCCACAAATCCATGTTGAGAATTTTAATTAGACACCTTTGAAATAACTAAAAATAATTCAAAAATATGTAGGTAAGAAAAAACACTTTAACCAACATATTTATTCATTATTATTTCATTATTATTTAAGCAAGTTAAATAATCTTAATTAAAACAAACCTTTTCAACTCTGTCAAAATTCTTGTATTTCATCTACATTAAAAAACAAAAAACATAAAATAAATTATAAAAATGTTTTTAATATATAATTTATAGTAAAAAACATTTGCAAACTTGAAATTAAAATACATTTACATACTTACATTTAAAGTCATGGTATTTGAAGTTTGTTTAAAAAAAGCTAACGACATAACTAAAATCGCTTTATCATCCAAATTTTATTAAGTCATATGAAAAAACAATGTTTACCATCTAAGATATTAACCATCGAGAAAATTTTTAAAATGCTTGCAAAACAAATAGTACCTGACTTTTTTTAGCAACTTAGAACTTCATCTATTTCAAAATTCGAAGTGTGCAAATATTTTGCAACATTGAATTAAATCCTTAGAAGTGTGTGTTTGTATGTACACACACACACACACACACACACACACTGTCTTTTAATATATATTTTTACTACTAACGTATAGGTATATACTCTCACTTCTAAGGATTTATGTGTATATATACATATATACATGCTTTCTTCTGTGGATTTAGGTTGGCACTGTTTTAGCATATTTTTCACACATTATTTTCTAAAATACAGACTTAATCTGCACTTTAAAACCATCAGTTATAAAAACAAAGAAAAAAAAAAGAATAAAAAAAATGCTGCAACAAATGTACTTCATACGTAGATTCTTATTGTAATGTTGTCATTAATGTTCGAAAAAAATATTTTAATTTTGTTACTTATCATATAATGCAACATTTGGTTTCCTATTGATTATCTAGTTGTATTTTTAAAGGATCATTCAACATGTCTAGTTTCTTTTCATTACTTTATCAAAATATAAAGCATTAAACTTTATACATCAGCTACGAAATGATATTAGATAAATTAAAAAATCTTAATCAAAATAAAGCATGTGGTCTTGATAAAATGCATCCATTTCTGCTCAAAAACTGTAGCATTTGCTATTCCTTTAACATTAATTATTAGGGTATCTTTAACTAATAGTCAGCTTCCAGTTCAATTTAAATCAGTGAACATAACGCTCCAATTCAAAAATGATGATAAGACTCTTCCCTGCAATTATCGTCCAGTTTTATTGACTTCTATTCCATGTAAAATTATGGAAAGTATACTTAGAGCTAAAATGGAAGAGAACCTGTACAAAAATAACTTACTTGCAAAAGAGCAACATGATTTTGTTAGAATCTTTTAGAAAGCATTGACTACATTCCATCAAGCTTAGATATTGGTATTTCAGTTGATGTAATTCTGCTAGATTTTGCTAAAGCCTTCGACACATTTTCACAGAAGAGACTGTTAGCCAAACTAAAAGCATACGGCTTTGATGGTCTGCTACTTAAATGGATTGCAGCTTTCTTAGAAAACAGAAGACAAAGAGTTGTTCAAGGTCAAATCATTTCTGACTGGGTTAAGATATTTAGTGGTGTACCACAAGGTTTGGTAATTGCAGCACTTTTATTTGTTTTATACATTAACAACCTTCCAAAAAAATTGCTTAACTATATACTGATGATACAAAAGTGCTTTCTCAATTATCATCAGAGCTATGTGGTACTAATCTTCAAAATGATCTAGATATTGTCTACAAATGGTTTCAAACTTGGCTTCTTCTGTTTAACATACCAAAATGTGTAGTTATGCATTATGGCCACAATAACAAAAACTATCTATATAATATAAATAGTATTCAATTAACGGAGTCAGATACAGAAAGAGATCTGGGAGTACTTTTCAATACAAACCTAAAATGGAAAAATCAAGTGATTAATGCTTCTAAAAAGGAAATCAAATGCTTGGTCATATCAAAAAATCATTTATTTATTTCGATTATAAGTTACTTTGTTTGCTTTATATTTCTTTTATTTGTCCATTACTGGAGTTTGCAGTTCCGGTATGGTCTCCATTTCTTAATTCGGATTGTGACTATATCGAGAGAATCCAGCACAAAGCTACTAAAATATCATCTATCAGAAATCTTTCCTATACAAGAAGACTCAAAGAATTAAACCAAACTACACTTGTAGAAAGGAGACAAAGAGGAGATCTAATACAAATGTATAAAATTATGAATATTGATAAATTAAAAAAAGGTATTCATTTTCCAATTATTAATAATCATACAAGAGGTTACTGCTTTAAAATTTCTAAGGAATTGACAAAACATAAGTACAGAGAAAATTTCTTTAATCGAGTAGCAAATTTATGGAAGTCTCTGCCAGAAGAAATTGTTAAATCGTTATCAGTCAACAGCTTTAAAGCAGCAATTAATTGCTGGATGAGCAGCAATCGATCAATTCGGCTGTCAAAGTGTGCCTGATAACACACTCACTTGCTCTCCCAGTTACACTGTTTACTACTAACTAACTAACATTACTTTAATTTGTTATTTCTATTTTAATATACTTATATTTTTATTATTTAACTTGATATTTTAACTGGATATTTTAACTTGATATTTTAACTTTTGACATTTTCAACATCCTTGGTATATTACAAAATAAATATGATCTATTTTTCGAAACTAATTTTAGGCAATTAACTAAATAAATATGATCAAAACTAATTTCAAGCAATTATAATAAGTAACTTAATTTCTAAACTAAATTTAGGTAATTATAATAATTAAAAAAACATCCTAACTACTAACACAAAACTATAACTAAAAAAACAACTGTAAGTAACAAAAAAGCAGTTTTAAAAATTCAAGCATTAAAAAAAAATTTGTAATAAATGAACTCAGTAAGGAGGACACAATAAATGAACTCAATAAAGAGGACCAGGTGTTGCATGAATTTTATATTTTTTCTATATCCTATTAAAAATTTAAATGAAGTTTCCACAAACTGGACTAACTCAGGAACTTTTTTGATTGACATCGTTGTTGAACAAGTCATGCTTCTCATGAACTTAAAAATAAAAATCATTACATCACAAAACATCTAAAAATATATAAGAAATATATACTTTTTGATTTTAAAACATTAATAATAACAGTATGAATTTAATACTAAATAAGTTTGAAGACACTACCTCTTGATCGATATAAAGTTTCCAGTATTTTCCAGCTGTTGGAAATTGAGTGACCAATTTTTCATACATATCTCTTGCTTGATCAACTGGGAAGTTCTACGTAACATAAAATATAAAACTGGAATTTATGTGTGTATATATATATATATATATATATATATATATATATATATATATATATATATATATATATATATATATATATATATATATATATATATATATATATATATATATATATATATCTATGTATGTATGTATGTATGTATGTATGTATGTATGTATGTATGTATGTATGTATGTATGTATGTATGTATGTATGTATGTATGTATGTATGTATATACGCCTCACTCCCTCTCACCCACACTCCCCTAAAACGGTTTACGAGAGCAATTTACAGCTCTCGCAAAAGTATTGTTTTTCTTACAAAAGTATAATTATTGTTGTAACTAAAATAAAAAACAATGTCCTTTAAAAAAATTAATTGCATAATATGCTGAAATGATTTTTAAAAAGCATGGTTGTTGCAAAAAAAAAAAAATTAAAATTAAAAAAGAGCGCCAATTTATGAGGAGCAACTTGCACAGCTCCCCAAGTTTGTTTTAGGAGAGCTCTTCTCAGCTTTTGTGCTCATTTATTCCCATCGAGGCCTGTATCTATATATATATATATATATATATATATATATATATATATATATATATATATATATATATATATATATATATATATATATATATATATATATATATATATATATATATATATATATATATATATATATATATATATATATATATATATATATATATATATATATATATATATATATATATATATATATATATATATATATATATATATATATATATACTTGAATAAAATCAACAACACTTTGATATACATATACTATGTCATAATGGTCAAAACAGTTCAAGAATTCTATGTTTGACTTGTTTATTTAAACAGAGCCTTTGTCACTTTGTATGCAACCTTTCCTTTATTTCTAATTCATACTTGCTTTGAGCAGAATATAAAATAGAAAAGCAATCAGAGGAGGTTCTCCTTTGACATTCAATGTTTTTCATTAAATGATGAAAAATGAAAGATTTTTTATCTTCCTTGAAATGTTCATCAATGGGTTAGGAAAAGTTTTGGACAGTTAGTCCTATGTAGCAAACAATACAGTTTGGACAATTAAATTTGTAAACAATTTTTGATTTATTATTTCTTGGAAAAAAATCTTTAAGTAAAAATATTGCTTAATTTCAAAATTAGAAAAAGATAATTTAATAGTTAAATCTTTTTTACATAACTTAGTTAATTCAGTAATTTTGTTTTGAATATTTCTAGAATTATCACCTATATATGGCAACCTAAAATATTTGTAATTAAGGGATTTGTTATTGTTGAATTTAGATGTACCAAATTTTTTTATTTAAATAGTTGTATATACATTTATCAATAAGTTTATTTGGGTACTGATTTTTTATTAATATCGTTATTAATAATGATTAGGTTATTAATATCGTTATGGTAACCAAACCAGGTATTACTAGTTTTAAAACAACAGTCAAAAGGAGTTTTAACTAGCCCAAGATTCTAGTTAATTAAGGTAAAGCTAAAAAAAATTTGTCAATAGACCAGCATATGTCTCGTTATGGTAAATATTATGATCAACTAATGATTATTTTTAATGCAAACATCTAAAAATGGTAAAATACCATTTTATTCATGTCATATATAAATTTGATATTAGGATGTTTAGAATTTAAATACTCTAGAAAAATAGTACTATTGGTTTTTGAGTAATATGATGCAAAAATATTATCTACACATCTTTTATAAAGAGTTAATTCCCATTAAATTCATCTAAAATTTTCAAATGATATATATATATATATATATATTATATATATATATATATATATATATATATATATATATATATATATATATAATCCGTTAAATTCATTGAAAAAAATTGTTTTTTTTTTTAATATTTGAGACTTATAGTGTTTTTTTTATTATGCTTTGAGACTGACGCAATATGTTATTGTATTTTATGATTTTTGTGTTTTTTTAATCCACTTTGAACTTTCCAGGTATATTTCCAGGTACTTTCTTAGGTCAGTAGTGTTCTTAAAAATAAATAGCTGTACAAAACATAGTTTAATTATTCATATAAAAGATTGAGGCTAACTTTAAGCTTTAACTTTAACAATATTATTTCAATAATTATTCTTATTTGAAACTTTAAGCTTTAACTTTAACAATTTTATTTATAAAAATATTCATATTTTTTAGGTTAGGTTTTCAGAATTTATGGGGTGAATAGAAACACTTAATTTTTAGTGTTTCCATTCACCCCGCAAAAAAAACTTAATACTAAATCACATTTATACTGTATAAAATACATATTGTGAGTTATATATTTATGTTAGACACCTAACTGACACAGCTGTTTTGGTTCAGGACCCTGTAAAATGTTAAAACAATACAAACCAGTAGTTACAGGGGGCTATCCAAAAACCTTTGAGAAGGTACTTTCTGACATACAGAAGGGACTGAGCCTTCAGAAGTCTGCTAAGAAACATGGTTTGGATTATAGTATTATATATCAACACTTGAAAAGAGGTCCCAATATGAAGAAACATGGTGGTCAGACAGCTTTATCTCTCAAAGAAGAACAACTGCTTGTTGAAAGACTGAAGATATATGGCAAATGGGGATATCATATTGACACTACAACTCTACAACTCCTTATAACAGACTTCTTAGACCGAACAAGGAAAAAAGTCAAGATGATTTTTCAGTACAGGATAGTAAATGTTCAGATTCCCTGATCTAGATGAAAGTACTGACATGACCTCAGGCGAAAACCTTGTCACCAATGAAGATGACTACATGTTGGTCAAAATTTATGGTAAAACAAAAGCATCTTTTAGATGTTATATATGCAAGGTCTCTAACCTTGAAAACGACGTTGGAAAAGAGTTCAACAAACTAACAAGTTTACCATAACTGAAGAACAATCTCTTGCCTCCAGAAACAACGTCATCCAAAATCTTCTTCCCCAGTATTGAGCTCAAGTGCACAATTTAAAAGCATGATATTTTTCAAAGATAACCTGTCTGATTTCACAATTTATTAATCATAATTTAATCTCGTTAAATACAGGAATTGTCTACCTATTCAATTTATTTACTTAAAGTTATGTAACTTCTACTGTTTATGTACTAAAATAAATCATTATGTTGAGAAATAAATTTATATTTATCCATTTACAAATTAAAAATACTATACTTAACTGTTTCCATTCACCCCCGATTCCTTTTAATAGAAAAAAACATTAGATTGAAGTACTGTTTCTATTCACCCCTATTTATGGGGTGAATAGAAACACCATATTTTAATATTTTTTCTTTAAAAAATCAAATAAATTAAAAAAATTTAAATACTATAAACAAATAGGTCTAACAGAGACCTGTTGAAGACTAAAATCTAAAAATTGTTTATCTAGGACAAATATGCAAAATTTCAAACCAAAGTTGAGCACTCTCTTTGTAGAACTTACCAATTTTTATATATATATATATATATATATATATATATATATATATATATATATATATATATATATATATATATATATATATATATATATATATATATATATATATATATATATTACCTGTGCTTCTCGAATTAGAACACCCCAAGCTTCAAGATCGTAAGGATTTTCTGCAAGGAGACCTTCAGCTTTTTGACCTCGATCAGAAAGACTGAAATTTACCATACTGTATTACTTTTAATATCTGAATAAAATAAAAATTTTAAATATTTTAAAATCTAGGAAAGCTGTTAAATAAATTAATGTCAGATCAAAATATTGCAGACAAATCTTATAAATAACTCACAATCTAAAACAATTCATGATAAATTGTCATAAATAGTTAGCCAATGCATAGTTGAATGTATATAACTACTAAAATTAGTTGTTGATATTTTTTCAAAAATAATTTTTATTTATTATAAGAATTATTTTTGAAAAAATATCAACAACTAAATTAAAAATGTGTTTTTAAGAGATTTTTTCACACTAATGTTTCTATCTAGTACATTTTCGAAATCCTTAGTAAAAAAAAAGAGAAAATTTTTTACGAAACTATAATCCAATCAGGTAAAAACCCCTTAACACTCATACTTTTAAAATATATTTATTATACTGTACGAAGATACACATACACATACGAAGAATATTTTGGTTCAACAAAACATTTTTTGTGTGCGTATTTTTATTTTAAAGTACATGCTTTAAACTTGTTTAATTTTTTTTTCAATAATAGTTCATCCTCAATTTAGATATATTATAACATAATATATGTAATTTGAGGGTGAAACAATATATGATATATTGTTTTCCTAACATATTTATTAACTCCACATGGTTTAATGTGATTTTTATTTTAAATTATTATTAGCGAGAAACGCTAAAATTTTAAATCGCTATGTATACACTGAAAACTACAGTTACTAATTACATAAGATACAATATTTTGTTACTACCACAACAAGCCTTGTAAATACCCTAATAAAAGTGGCAATTCATGCTTCTTCAAAATAAGATTCTTTTCTTCAGGTGTTTTTAGTCCACACGGCCGAGGATTCTAGTATACGGCGACGCTATAAAACTCGGAATACTCATGGAAGTAAGACAAACCGAAATTTTTACGGCTCACTCTTGTAAAAAGCTAGGCTTTTTTTATTCTTAAAAAAAAAACAAGACTTTCATTGTTGTGTGTTTTACATAGGGTTGCCAGTTATCCGGCTTTTACGAAGGAGAACTCAGTAAAAAAAAATATTTATACAGGTTTAGTGCTGTGTTCTCCTCCGTAAAAGCCGGACGTCTGGCAACCCTAGTTTTACACAGCTTTACAAGATGGAAAAAAGTTGTTACAGGGTTTTTATTTTTAATTTTTAATAGAAAATTGGATAAACAACAAAATTTTGTTTGCCTCCAGTTTTTCTGCCGCAGCGATTGGCGGCTGTCTGCTAAAAATTTTTTGGAAGCAAAATGTTCTGACTTCCACCTCCAGTGGCCTGTGTCTCCAAATTGGCAACCACCGCCAGAATTTTGTTTTGGAGGCAGAACGTTTAGGAGGCCGACGCCAATAGAAAAGCGAAAACCATTAATGGCCGCCTCCAGAAAAAACTTTCGAGACAAAATTATTTAGAGTGTCTTAACTTTAATTGAGTTAATGTTAACTGTTAAAACGCACGTTTCAGATCACATTCCTATTATTTCTTATTATTTTTTTTGTGTAAATGCAAATTATAAACTAAATATCTAGGGTAAGATAACTATAAAAAAAAAAAGGTATATACAACAACAGTAACCTGAAATTAAAATTTAAGGAACAAATTTCGCTAATACACTTCATTGATGATATAAATCTAATCAATGATTTTTCTTAAAAACATTAAAAGCTGTCTATAACACAAATCATGTCCTTGGATAACTACTCAACAAGAAAGGTATATGTGGCCCACATGTGGTCATAGTGCTTACAAATAAAATAAAATTGTAAAACTATATTCCAGTTGATAATTAATATATATGCTGATGATCAGCGTGGTCCACATGTGGAATGATAGCCCACATGTGGAATAATGCATCCACATAATTATTCCACTTAGTGTTGCATAATCCTTTTCATTAAATTTTTTAAATTTAATGAAAAGTTATTGTACGTATATATTTATCTGCGAATAAAATTATAAATAAAAGCAAAAAGTATAATGTTTTTTCATTTAAGTTTTTTAACTAGCTTTTTTTAACTCTTTTACAAATAAATATACATGCAGTATGATACTCATTTCTATAGGTATATATGTATAATTATTTGTATATTGTATACATAAACAAATCTACTGACTTGTTTAAATATGATATTTAAACAAGTGAGAAGATTTGTTTATGTATTTGTTATAACTTTCTTGTAGGGAAAGTCTCCAAGTCTCCAGGTACAGACTATATTTGCAGTATTATTGTTTTTAATGTTTTTTCAGAGATAAGCAAGCCTATCTTCGAAATATTCAAATCGTCGAATAAAACAGGAATTGTACCGGACAAATTAAAAACGGCTAAAATTATACCCATTCTTTAAACCGGTGAAACATCATCTTTAAACAATTACAGAGCAATCTCCATACTTTCTCTAAACTACTTGAACGAATAATCTACAATAAATTATGTAGTTATCTAACTCAAAACAATTTCTTAAATAAAAAGCAATTTGGTTTCCAAAAACAACACTCGTCCGAACATGCAGTTCTAGATCTAATAAATACCATAAGTGATTCATTTGTTAAAAACCAATTTGTACTAGGAACCTTTATAGATCTATCAAAAACGTTTGATACTGTCAATCATAATATATTACTAAAATAAATGGAAAGATATGAAATAAAAAATATAAATTTTGATTGGTCCAAAAGCTACCTGTGTGGCAGAAACAATGCGTAATTTCAGACGATAACAAATATTCAAACCTTTTAGAAATAAAATGCGGAGTTCCTCAAGGTTCCAATCTTGGTCCCCTACTATTTCTAATTTATATCAATGACCTTCAAAAAGCCTTAAAAAAACTTGATGTTATTATGTTTGCCGATGACACAAATCTATTTTATATCGTCATCCATCAAAGAACTTTATGAACCAATAAACGCTGATCTTGAAAATCTCAACATCTGGTTCAAGGCAAATAAATTATCTTTAAATACAGAAAAAACCAAATATATCTTGTTTCATTCTAACCAGCAGAAAAATAATATACCACCAATCCTACCATCATTAAAAATAGATAACATATGCATTAAAAGAACTGAAAAAACTAAATTTCTTGGAATAATTATTGATGAGAAGATTTCCTGGAAGACCCATATAAGTACAATAAATAACAAAATATCAAAAAGCATAGGTGTTCTTTATAAAGCTAAATCAATGCTCTCACAATCAAATCTTAAAATTCTCTACTTTTCTAATATTCAAAGTTAATAAAATTACGCTAACATTGCATGGGGGACCACACATAAATCTAAATTAAATTCTCTATACGTACATCAAAAACATGCATCAAGACTGGTTTATAATAAAAATAAATTTACTCATGGCGATCCTTTACTTAAATCTTTAAACGCACTAAATATTTATCAAATTAAAATATACCAAAATATTTTATTGATGTTGAAATACAAACTTGGACTAGTTCCAAATTATTTTTTCAATAACTTTTTTCAAGTTAATGCTAATAAGTATACTACAAGAGGAACGGGAAATTTCACGTTGCCTATAAAAAAAAAAAAAAATTTCGCAATATGCAATTGTATACCGTGGCCCTTTCTTATATGACAAAGTCATACCCCAAAATATAGAACTTAGTAATTCTGATAATCTTTATACTTTGAAGAAAAACCTTAAACATCTCATAATTAACTCAACAAATTTAATCGATATGTTTTAAACAACGCCATCCCATAAAGGAGAGTGGTAATTATATGACTAACATATGCTTACCACACGTGGAAAACAGGAAACTTGCGCAAAAATAAAGAGTGGCTTTCGTTCCTATTTAGTGTGATTTTAGTGGCATAAACATTATAGCCGCATATGGAACGCACCAAAAGAGAGTGGTAAATATATGGTTAACACGCAATTGCCATATATGGCCTATATGAAAATTTCTTGTCGGGGAAAGGATTTATAAAACCATCTAAGAAACAAAGGATCCGTGGTTCAAACCCCACCTCAGGGCAAGTTTTGCGACATCGGTTTGGAAGGAGGTGTGAACTCTCAATTAAGTGCTCATCCGCGGTTTTTTTGTGATAAGACCGTAAGGACTACTTGGCGGCACCTGAATGAAATAAAAAAAAATTAAAAAAATTAAAAAAATATATTAAAAAAAAAAACTATGTTATTCTTAATTATGCAAATATTTTATGGGAAGCGCGCACAAAACTAAATATAAATCTCTTTATCAGTATGAGAAACACGCAGCTTGATTTTCAAATTCAAAACCACTCCTGAGAGAAATGAAAGCCTTAAATGTACACGAACTAAATGTTTATAACATTTTATGTTTATGTTTAAATGTAAAAATCATTTATCTTCTAATGTATTTATAAACCTTTATGATGTAAATCCAGAGACAAATACGGTCTTTGTTATGGAAACAATCTCCAAAAAACCTTTCTGCCAAACTGAATTTAAACAGCTATTTATTTCATATAGTGGTCCTTTTTTGCAGAATAAAATTTCTTTGACTTTTATTATTATTATTAAATTTGATATTGTAAAAGGTTTCATGATAAGATCGTATGATCTTTTGGAAGTCCTGCAGATTGTATTTGTAATAAAGCTCTACTGTAATATTTATTTATTGAAGGCAAAAAAATAAAAAAAAGTTTTATAAGTTAAAAAATTTAAAATTTCCCTTTTATGTCAATGAACTATTATTTATTATCATTTTTCTTACAATTTTTTTATCTACTTATTTTATTTTATTGCTTTGTATACAATATGGTGAAAAACTTAATTATAAATAGCAAAAAAAAAAATAATAAATAAATTGTCAGTTTTTGATTTAAGTTTGATTTTTTGTCGCCCTTGCTCAAACTTTAATTTTTCGACAAAAACATTGAATTCTTAATTTTAATCATTAGATATTGTAACATCCTTTAATATTTACTAAGAATTTATAAAATTAATTTATTTTGATGGCGGCTTGAATTAACGTTTTTTCAAAAAGGAAAACATTTTTAAGAATTGATTTTTTTTTTTCGAAAACAAAATTTTTCGCAAATTTTTCATTCTTATTGACAAAATACAACCTGATCAAAACAAAGTTTTTTTTGGTGAAAAAGTGGGATCTTATTGTCAGAACTTATAAAAGCGCAAATGTATAAATACATATACAAATACATATACAAAGTAAATACAGTAAGACATCTCTGTATAATAGGAAAGATAATATACAACAGTCTTACAAAGAAAAAGACAAACACGTGGTTGTTACAAGTAGTATTTAAATAATATTATCATCAACAAATAAAATAAAGTTTTTAAGTTTACTTTTAAAGATCGGATAAGTATTGAATATATCAAAATTAGGTATAACAATTTTATTCCAAAAATATGGTGCTCGAAATGTAATGCAAAATTTATTAAATTTTGTTCTGCAAATTGGTTCATATAAAATTTTTTACTTTTAAGTAAATATTTATTAACTGGGTTTAGAGAAAAAAGGTCTTCAAAGATAAATAAAGAAAAATCGTTTTTCCACATGTAAATAAAGTGTGATTATATGCGATATATATTATTATGCAATCTTTATCATTTGCAACCATATGTCTATAATTTGTGGAGACGATATAAGTGCATACAAATAGAAGAAAATTGTTCATTCACTTGTACAAACAATGACTAACTAAAAAATTGCGTACAACAAGAAACGTCGCTGGGACGATTAAAAGGTTTAAATGCTCAATTCTTTAAATACAAAATACAACAAAAATATAAAAATCTCGATTTTTAAAACGTTTAAAAGCATTAAGTCAATAGTATTGAATTTTAGTTTATTTCTGTTGTTTTTGCTGTTGTATTTTTCAAAACTATTGAAAAAATAC